ATTAATATTAATAAAGGAAAGAGATTATAAAATTTATAATTCTAAAGATTAAATAGTTTTTCTTTAATTTATTATTATTAATTAAAGGTATTATTAATTTTAATTCTAAATATTTTAGATAAAACAAATAATAATAAGTTAGTGCTCAAAGTATTTAATATATCAGCTATAATAGGAAAAGAGAATAAGACGAAGATATAAATGAAGATGAAGACCAAAAGATGTAAAAAGTATAAAAGATTATGAAAACTATATAAAGATCTACCTTAAACAAATAAAAACAGAAATAAAGAATTTCTATTTCAAATTGAATTGTTTTTATTATAATAAGATTTTTTTTATAAAATAGAATATATTATTATAATATAAGGGATAGATATTAGATAAGATATATAATATTCTATAAGAAATAAAGAAGAAGGCGGAGAGGCGCCGACTATATGAAGGGCAGATGCCTAAGACATCCACATAACTACGTATTAAACCCGTAACAGAATATTTATATAAAAATTGAATTGAAGTCAGTTTATAAGAGCTAGATTTATTTAAAATGAAATTACTTGCTTTTTCTAGAATTCCTTTAAAGAATATCCTAGTTTTATATAATTTATAATAAAATTCTAGCATTTTCTATATTTATAAATAAAATCGATTTAAATCAAATCTTATGAAATTATAAAAAGAAAATGCAACCAATCAAATTTAATCAGTTTAATAATAATCTTCTATATACTTCCATTTGATTTTATTCTATTCTATTTTATTGTAAATTAATTTAATAAAAGATATAATAATATAATTTTATAATATAAAATCATATTATATATATATTAGTTATTAAGATATCTCTTAATTAGTAAGATATTAATAAATGATTTAGTGAACTTATTATGAATTTTTACAACAATTATAAATAAGTAATAAATTGCTTGAAATCAATCTTTCGCTAATGAATAGATATATTAAGTCTGTAGTATAGATCATTATAGTAATAGTGATATTAAATAGTAAATCACTAGTGAAGAGAAAGGAGTCGGAAAAGATAATAATCGTCTTTATAGGGAACTTTAGAGCTGAGGAATTCCTAATACGAGCATCGATATGGAACCGGCATCGAGCCGATATTATTCTAATACTAAAGAATTTTTATATATATATAGCTTCAAGAAAGGTTTTAAGGAAATCAATAAAAAGTCTTATTCTAGATCTATACTTATATTCATATTAATTGTTATTTTATATTCATTCTAATAATTCTTTTTATTTAATCTTTTTAAAACAAATTAATAATTAATTTTTAGGAATAGCTTCGAAAACTTTAAAGATAATTCTTTCAAAGATTTCATTTCAATTAAACTATAATATACCTGCAATATATCTATAATATATAATTAATATTATTTATATTAAAATAATCCTATTTCCTTTATTTAAATCAAATTAAAAGAAAGCTAAGAAAAAAAAAATGTTTTTATAATATAAATCCTTCAAAATATTTATAAGACATTTTTATAATATACCTTCTATATTCTTTTGAAATAAAATAAGATAATTGAATAAAAAGAAAAAGAAAAAAATATTAAAAAAAAAGAAAAAGATTCTTTGAAAGAAATAAACTTTACTCTAAAAAATATCTATAAAATACTAGCAATACTCTTATTATTTTATAAATTCTATTAGAAAGATAGAATTTCTTTATAATATTTTAGAGATTTTTTATATAAAAAAGAGTCTAACTAGCTATTCTATAAACAATTAGATTCACTAATTGAAGCTAATTATAAATAATTGATATTATATTAAATAGCTTATGTCTAATCAAAAACAAAATAGTATCTATTGAAGTCATCTATTTTATAATAAACATAAATAAATCATTTTCAGAATTTTCTTCAGATTTCAAGGATTTAGTAGGAAGTTAATAAAGCTTTGTATTTTTCAATTATTTTCAGGATTTCTTTTAGATTTTGAGAATTCAATAGAAAATCAGTAAAGCTTCATATTTTTTAGTTATTTTCAGGATTTTAGATTTTAAAAGTATTTATTTAATTAATTCATAGAATTCTATTAATTTTTTAGGGTTTTTGGATTTTTAAATATTATATATTAACAAACTATTATTGAATTCTAATTTTATAAATTTTATATACTTTTGAAAATTTAACAAAAAGTTAATAAAACTTTGTTATTTCAAGATTTTCCAGATTTTCTAGATTTTCCGGATTTTTAAACTCTTTCTAATATTCCGGATTTTCATTGTTTTCAGAATTTTCAGGATTTCGAATATTATATAATAGTAAAGTACTATTGAAGTTCTAATATTATAAATTTTATATATTTTTAGAACAAATAAGCTTTTGAGATTAAAAACCAAAAAAGGGAAAGCAAAACCCTATTGAATATAAATCACTATTTTATTAAATCGATTTCTTTCTTTCAAATTTTTCGAAAATTTCAAGGGTTTTAAATTTTAAATTATAAATTAGATTATTCCTAATATTTTTACATTATAATATAACTCTTTTAAAAAATTATAAAGAAACTGAATCTTATAAAATAAGAATATAGATATTATATAACTAACTCTTACTATAAAATTTAATAAGATTTCGAAAATACATCAATATAATAATAATTAATTATTAAATAATTTTAAAAGTTTTTAAGAATAAAAGTCTAAGGAGAAAGGCTTTATTGTAAGCATCAATAAAAAATCAATATCAGATTAATATTATTCTAATATTAAAGAGTTTTTATATATATATAGCTTTAAGAGAGGTTTTAAGAAAATCAATGAAAAGTCTTATTCTAGGCCTACACCTATATTCATACTAGTCGTTACCTTACACCCACTCTAACAATTCTATAAGAATTAATAGATATGGAGAAGCTATTAGTAGTTTAATTTGAACTTCGGTTTAGGTGAAGGAACATGTAATGAGTTAAATATATGTAATGGTAATAATCAATAGGAGAATGAAAGTTTAAACTCTAAAGAAAACAAAAACATAGGGGAAGGCCCGTGGGGCGATCAGTGTAGGCAATAGTATACTACAATGAAACTATAGCGTGTATTAATATATTAATATTGCAGTTAATATATATAGGAAGGAGATTATACCATTTTTATATATATCTATATATTTAAAGAATACTAATAATATATTGAAATACTGAAATTTATTAGAATATCTTTATTCCTATTCAAATTAGATAATAACATTATATTTCTTATTTCAAATTGAAATGAAAATCCTTATTTTCAATTTAATTTATATAGAAATGAAAATACTATATTAAATTCCAGTATTTTAATAATTTAATCAATAATATTAAATAACTGAATAATATTGAATATTTTCAATAATATTGAATTCTATACTATATATATATATATATATATTTCGAAAAAATTCGATATGTACTACTAAACTAACTTGTATACGAAATACGGGAAATACTATTGCCTACACTCGGGGCAACTATATATAAAATCGTGTAATTGTGCGGTAAGCCAGATATCAAGGTAGATGCTATCATTATTATATGCTCATATGTATTATCTCATGCGAAGTCATGCGTATTTTAAAAGGGATATCCGACTCATCCATACGAGTATCGGATTAACATTTAACAACTTCCATGATAAGGGAATATGGGGCAACGAGGCGACCACGTTTGACGAATGGAAGCTATTCCCGTAAGCTGTACTACACTTTACTTCAAGCCTAGCATTCTTCAATACTATACGTCATCTTCGTGTCTATCACGGTACATACTATAATCCGCTTACATGTCGTATAACAGAGTTCGGAAACTTCAGTGTCGAATTCTAGAAGGAAAACCTAGTCCTAGGCTCAAGTCTGACGGGCCAATTTGCTGGAACAGAATATCAAGTAGCTCCCATAACGTGGGGCCCCGAGTTGAAATCTAGAATTGGCAATGTTTTACTTTTCCGTTCCAGTCCTCCCCTCCTGTTCATCTCCTGTTCCGTTTCTATGGAGAATTCCGTAATAGTTTCACGAAACTGCTTCTTCTTTCCAATTTTCAATAATTGCAAACAAACTATCCCGTCCAAACTATGGACGAGGAAAGAAATAGTGATGGAGGGTTGTGAAAGATCACGTGAAGTATAAGCACGTGATTTCAGGCGAACGATTGCTTTAAACTGGAACCGTTCTTCCTATCCATTTCAAGCTTTATTATTCCTTTCCATCTCCAACCTCAATTTGAACATTTTCTCTCCACTCCCATCCTTAACAAAATCCTGTGCACTTTTTCCTGCTCCTGATGGCAAGCGCCAGCAAGCCTCACCCGTCCCGGACCCCAAAAGAGGATAGGTGAGACTTGGAGAAGATCAACATGACAATTTTGTGACCAATCACCAGCCATACATTATGTATGTCCATACAATTGACAGATGGATCTGCAGTACCCTACCTATTTCTTGGCTCGGCACTTGACACATGTAACTAGCCGCAGATAAACCGACCCCCGGAAACATTCTATCGGAAATGACGGCGAATAGAGATCCACAGTAAACCAACGAATCTGAGGAATTAAGCGAGACTCAACCGAGATTCACAATCTTGTGGGAAAAAAAGGATAAATCTTCTTCCCATCTCGTATCCACACTTTTGACGCAACGCATAACCACCTGCGAGATTTGCGATGTCTCCGCGCGGAGTAAGGTTACTCCACACGCAAAAATGCATAACCCTTATTCCCCAGAATATACTCATGTCTGTATAAAGAACACTTGCCTGGGAATTATCTCCATTTTTAGTACCAATTCAAACGTGTAAGCATACTAGGTGATGTGGTACAGACGTAGGTATGGAGCCCTCGGAGCGGAAATCTTTGGGACCCACTCATTAAGTATGAAAAGACTTTCCTCCGCTCTTTTTTTTCGATCAATGTTATCTTGCGTCTTGTTTTCTTGAATCTTTTTTACCTACTCGTCGCTGTCTATCACATATAAATCAAAAGATAAAGCGAAGATGGGTATTCTCACTATGGTCGAGGATCGGCCTACGCCAAAAAGCGTTTACAATTGGCGCGTCTATGTATCGGCTATGACAGCTTCATTCGCCGCGTGTATGATTGGATACACAACATCATTCATTGGAACAACCGTCAATCTTGATTCTTTCAAAGCAGAATTTGGACTTGATAAGTTGAGCGATTCTGGCGCCAGCTTAATCCAGGCGAATATCGTATCGTTATTCCAAGCCGGTGCATTTTTTGGTTCTATATTTGCTTATGGTACCGCGTACTATGCTGGAAGACGAATCACCCTCTGGACGTTTGTCAGTGTATTTATTCTTGGTGTTTGTATTACGTTCGCTTCAATTGGTGGTCATATCGGCCCGATGTATGCTGGAAGAGTCATCTCGGGTTTCGGTGTGGGGGGATGTACCATGATTGTAGGTTAATCCTAATCTCCTATCCGGGGTCAATGCTTACCCATCAAAGGTTCCCATATACATTTCCGAAATCGCACCTCCCGCTATCCGTGGTCGCCTTGTCGGCACCTACGAACTCGGCTGGCAGATTGGCGGTCTTGTGGGATTTTGGATCAATTTCGGAATGTCTCAAAGTGTGCCATATGGTCGTAACCAGTGGCTCATTCCATTCGCCGTTCAATTAATTCCCGCCGGTATCGTGCTTATCGGTAGTCTCATATGCTTGAAAGAAACTCCACGTTGGTTGTGGACTCGAGGTCGTCGAGAACAGGGTGTCGAGAATCTGTGCTATATCCGACAACTCAAGCCTGATGACACTTATATTTTGGAGGAGATTGAGATGATGGATCTCCAAATCAATGATTTGCCTACTGGATTCATCAAACCACTTCGCATGGCGTTTTCTGATGACAAATTATTATGGAGATTGTTCCTCGGACACATGCTATTCGTTCTTCAAAATTTCGCCGGTATCAACGCTATCGTAAGTATAATATACTACATTACTCCATCCTAGACACAAACGCTCCATACTGACCTGCATCCAGAACTACTACTCTCCTACCATCTTCAAAACTATGGGAGTAACTAGCACCGAAACTGTTGAACTAATGACTGGCCTCTTCGGCGTGGTAAAATGTATCATGACCGTTCTCTGGCTCACAATATTGATCGATAAACTTGGCCGCCGCACTCTCTTCATTTCCGGTGGTATCGTCGGCGCAATCCTCATGTTTATAATCGGTGCCTTAATCGCAACTGCTAAAGACAACACTGGTGAAGGACTCGACTCTCAAGGCATTGCCACAATTTTCATGATCTATCTCTGGACCTGCATTTATATCACTTCTTGGAACGGTACCCCCTGGGTTGTAAATGCAGAAATGTTTAGTCAAGCTACACGTAATGTTGGACAAGTCGGAGCCTCCATGGCAAACTGGCTCTGGACTTTTGTCATTGCACGCGTTACTCCTAACATGGTAGCAAGCATGGGAAAGAATGGTTTCGGAATGTATTTTTTCTTTGGCTCAATCACCGCTCTCGCAGTCGTCTTCACCTGGTTCCTCATCCCCGAAACAAAATCCGTTCCGCTTGATCGAATGGACGATTTATTTGCGGCAAGACCAGTTCGTGCCGCGCAAAAGATTGTTATGGAAGATTTGGCAAGAAATACGTTGGAATTTTCGAAGATTGATAGGAAGGAGGAGAGTTCGCTGGCGCAGATCGAGAGAGCTAAAGAGGCGGAAGATGCAAGCCAAAGCGAGAGGCAGAGCGATTAGATTAATGGGAAATTAGAAGACTTGAACGATTCACGACTTTGTATGATATGATGTTAGATTTTATTGTTGCCTTTAGGCGTACAATATCCATAGAGTAGACAGCATTTTAGATTAGATATAGAATATTTGTTGATACAACGTTGAAACCAATTACTTTACTCTTGGTCATTCCTGTTTTGGACCACATTTTTATATCAAATACCCATGTTTCAACCTTACTTGATGCACTCGATTAATGGATTTTCCGTATAGTCATTGATGAATATATAAGCTTTTCAGCTTATCAAGCATCTTTTATTGAGCCGAAGATTGAAACTTTTGCTCTTTTCATTTGTGTTAAACAACACAGGCTACAACTATAGAGTGCAACGTGGAATAGTTTCAATCGAAGCTGAAAATTGCACAAAGAAAGAATATTAGCAATCAAAGGAAGTAATTACCCATCATTCCGAAAGGAACGGAAGTGATGACTGCCTTTAATTGAATCGAGACTTGAAATTTTTAATGGTTTTTCCAGGAAGCGAGGATTTTCTCGACCGGGCCCCGAATCTTGAATCTGAGATTGCAATCGAGACAAAGTCGATATGACTTTTAAAGCTTTTAGAATATTAGTCAACAAGCAAGAGTTTTCTTATCAACGCAATGCATCTGAAGCTACACACTAGGGCTAGCAGCTTAGCTACGAATCGATCAGTTGGGGAACAATATCATCAGTAATATTTCAAATAATAACCTCTCAGTTATTGATGCGATTATCGCGTATATATGAACAGAACAAGTTCCTAGTATCGGATCGCTTTCTCTGAAAATTGACTCGCAAGAGGCGACAGGAGTCCGGGAAGCTACAAAAGTCCAAAGAACAAAACAAGCAAGAGATACGCAAAAGCGTGAGAGAGGCAGAGAATCACCGCAAGTACATGAAATCTCAAGCTACAAGCCTAGCATTCCAAGAAACCCGCAATTCTGCCGTCTCTAGCTTCTAGTAACACGTAACTGGATTCCGAGGAAACTACACTAAGTTTCTTATTTATAGAAAGTAATACTATTCTCACACCAAGAACTGGTACAGCTGCCTCGCCAGACCCGGATCAAACTGGTTATATTTTAGTGCGATTTGCAAATGATCGGAAACTTGACTATTGAGTCTGGACAGCTATATAGGTTTGTGTTGATAGATTGGGGATGGCTAACCATTAAGTATTTGGGTTGACTTTGCGGAGCAAAATGATTCTTGGTCCGCTAGATTCTGAGCTTCACTCCAAGAGATAAAATGAGTATTCTTCTGCGAGAAGAGAAGGATGAAGTAACGATTTTCTTGTGCGCAGTGGAATGCAACGCAACGAAATGCCGTATCGACAGGCCCATGTGTCCATTGTCTGATACATCATAATGCCTGCGGATATGATAAATCACAACTGTAGTACTAGTATAGATACATGCGAAAGCTATACTAATCTTTGAATACCATACGATATGAGTCGAGACCGTAATATCATAATCTTTTTCAAATAGTTTCCTTCCCGAGTGAATGGACAGGAGGCAGAAAAGGAAGAGCTTAATTCTTGGGGAGTTTATACATCTGATCAGGGAATGCTGGGATATTGACTAGTAAGATATCACAATTACATTAAAACATGTAAATCAGTGTAATATGAGATCCTTATACTTTTAGAAGCCCTTGAAGAAATAAGGCGGGAGGGCAAGCTCACGATATAGGATATATTGACGTGAAAAGAAAGAGGTAAAGAGTGGAGGTGGGATGAAGAGAACATTAAAGTCTTGAAAATGTGAAGATTTGAGCATGAAATTAGTGAGCAAGTGATTGGGTGGGTGGTAAGAATTAGAATGAGTAGAGTCAGTGATATGAACGAATAGACAAGCAATTCAGCGAGCGAGAGACTTTGTGAGATGGATTTTGAGGAGGATAGAAAATAAGAAAAGTGATGTAGGCTGCGCCAAAAGCATGGCTCAGCCGTTCAATATCTGTAAATTTTATTTTACGCCAATGTTTCGTTGCAGGTTTCACCTGCTCCATCAATAACTCGTGAAAAAAGTTCGATTGTTCGCTCCGCCAAGGTATCATTTGCGAGTTACCCGCCAGGGCCGTCGTCTCCTTCGCCTATACTCGTTGCGCAGCCCAATACGATTTGATCCCTTCAACATTCAACGAACCATTTATCCATTCACCCACCCAATTCCTAATCTCAACATTGTCACCCAAAACCGAAATCTCACCCACCGAGCAATTTGCTCCTCAAACGCGAAACAATGTCACACTGGCAGCGGTAGAAGTATCTCTCGGATTTCGAAAGACACAATGCATAATATGTTGAAGCTCACAGAGCTAACAAATTTGACGTGAATCTCTCATTAATTTCATTAAGGTCATGTTCTATCTATCCTTCTAATTCTTTGTTTATCTCAATAATTGCAGAGAAAGGTGAGAAATGAATTATTTTTCTATCCCATATTGTTTGAGAACTTGCTCAACCTCATCTCATTCCCTATGATATCGGTGCGCATGTAAACGCCCCTCGGACTGTTCCTTCGGCGTATTGTTTTTTCTGTTGCACATAGTGTATTAGTAACCCACACATCTTCTGAAGAGAATAAACGCAACCGAAAGATCGACTTCGGCCTCCGTCCCTTTAGAAAAAGATTGAAAGAAAAACTTACGATGTCTTCCACTGCCGCATACGTGCCCCCTACCAAAACCACCATCCCAATGACAAATACCGCCCCATTTACCACACTCAGGAACAAGTTTTCGCGCGCATACCATTTGCCCTTCTTGAGCAACTTAAACCACATCATGGCCGGGAAGTAGAATGTGAACCCAGAGACAAACAGCGCCGACACAATGGATAGAAGATCCGAGAAGAAAGGGATCGCTTCCGCAATCACCCATGCAATAATTGTGATGAAGCTTACAAGCCCCAACCATGTCAGCCAGCCTTTCTTCGTATTAATGAAGCGGACCACGGAGTTCTTGTATACACGTCCGTGAATATAGCGCGCGACCACAGTGCAATTAATGGAGCCCGAGATGAAGATGACGGGTAGCGCAATGCCGAATGCTATTTTGGCCATAAGATTTCCCGCCGAGAGAAGTGCAGGTGATTGCACATCCTGCCCAACGAAGGCATAGATTAATCCTCCTGTGACAGTGTAGATGAAAATTTCGATTAAGCCGAGTGCCCAGATCGACTTAATATAATCGCGCGGTGTGTGCATCTCGTCCATGAAGGAAAATTGACACAAGGCAAATGAGTATGCGAAGACAATGTTCGTGATGGCGATAAACGCTTCCGAGAAAGAGAGGCCCTTCTTAGGCCACGCAGACCAATCAACTTGCGCCAGTCCCCCGGCCGAAGAACCAGATACCACAGCGGTAGCCACAATAGTAATGCCAATCGCAAGCATAATTGACACGAAATCGATATAGCCCAAGATGGCTACGTCCGCAAATGACGGGGGAATTGCCAACACTAGCAGGATGATAGCCGACACAACCCCAAACACCACTGAGCACGCCCCATTATTCGACAAGTTAAGAAATGCAATCGTTCCTGTCAGACAATGCGATCCCACCGAGAAAGTCAGCTCCAACGCAAACATTGCCCCGAGCAGCTCATACCCAAACCGTCCCATCAGCAACCTCCCCGCATCTGCATAATGCGCCACGTGTGGAAACGCCAGTTTGACTTGCCCAATGATATGACTGGTATAGATGGCAACCAGTCCAATACCGATGGTGAGAATCACTCCAGCTACCATCCCCAGAGTTGCAAAGGCTCCAGGAATAGATAGAGCACCGAGCGCGATGGCTTCCACAATTAAAATAACAGTTAGCCGCTTCCAGCCGAGTCGACTGAAATTCGCACGCCCGTGCGCCTCTAGCGCGGCGGTCTCTCCCATAATTCCATCTTTGTCATGCGTGTGGTGTGAACCTGAGTCCGGCGTGTACGGTTTGCTCGCACCACCTGATTCCATCTTGTTCGGGTCGTCTTGGATTGCATTCATGGTTGCCGATTTTTTTGAGAGATAGAGATTGAATGTGGGAGGTGGGAGATTGAGGTACCTTTCAGTGCTGGGCGAAAGAAAGCACGGTAAGTATGAATTATAGAGTATTGTATATACAAGAAGTGGGCCAAGAGGAAAGTAAAAATATGTCGAGTTGAGGGGGTAATGCAGAATTATAAACAGGTATGGGCGGAGTGCATGGTCGCTAACCCAGTATGCCCGAGAAAGATACGGGAGGAAAGAATTACATTTGCTTTTTATACAGCAGAACTGAGAAATGCGTGGATGAGGAAAGCACGATGGACCTTCGCAAAACTATTACGAGAGATTTTCGCTTTCCCTCCGCAGTTTATGAAGTGATTTGAGCATCCTCCGGGCGATACCCCCGTTGTTTTCTGCTCGGGACTCGGGTGGCACCATGGAGGAAATTGTGGGATGTGTGTGGGAGTGGATCTCGTTCAATGACTCCTGTCACCATCTCAAAATTTTCAAGGGTTACTTAACACCTTGGATGTGTAATGAGAACCCTTAAACATACACGAGCAATGAAATCGTAATAGATGATTTATTCAAAAATTACCTTGACGAATCAAGATTGTATAGCAACAATTAGAATCAACGGTATTTAAAAGTGATTGAAAAATCAAGATTGTGGTTAGGGATGGATTTGCATTTTGAAAACCACTATTACGGTCACTGGGTGGATCTTTTTATGTCATCGAAACTGACTCTGCCAGCATTGTACTGACGACTCTAGCAACTGTAAATCAGATGAAGATGGCGGATTGCATCTGGTCCTGGAGATTGCAAAAGCCAATAGATGAACATGTGTCGGGTCGTTGTGCTGTATGATAATACGGTATCAGCGAAGTGTTAAACGGCAAAGTTGAGCATTGGGTGAGTTGCGGATGAGTATCAAAACTCGTCAAAGCAGAAACGAGGTGAAGAATTTTTTCTCAAGTTCGTCATGCACATGACATGGCTCAGGGGTAGCCCTTGCCTTGAAGCGTTAGACACCGACCTTTGTCCGACACTATGCGATGATAACCTTACTGCACGTGCCTCACTGGTACAACAAAGCCATTCTACGCTCTCGTAAAAAATCTTTTACATAAGTCGACCATCCTACTTTCGAACCACTCCTGTTTTGGGCCACCTTTTTATATCAAAAATTACTTTTTTGATTCATTGATATCTCTATTAATATTGGATATAATTTAATAAAAATTTATATTTATATAATTTAAATTATTTTAAACTATTTTAAACTTATATTAGAATTTTTAGAATTTTTAGAATTTTGGGATTTTTCTAAATTTAGATTTAAAATTTCAAAACATCGATTTTTGAATTTATATAAAAATTACATACCAATTTAAAACTTTTATATAATCTTTAATAACTTTCTAATAATAATTATTAAAAGAAAATTATATATCTTTTTAAAGATTTCAAATTTAAATCTATCTAGAAATTAAAAAAATTAAAAAATTAAAAAATAAATAGATATTAAAATATAGTATATAATAAAATTAAAATAATATAAATAATTTTTACAATTTTAAAAATACTTTCATACGTATTTATTTATAAAGAATTTTCTATTTTTTCAAAATCTTTTAAATTAAATATATTATAAATTTATAATAAAATTTTACAATTTATTTCTAAATTTTTTTAAAAAAAAAAGTTATTATAGATTTTATAGAATTTCAAATTTATATATAATTTCTATACAAATTGAAAATCAATATTTTGAAATTCTAAATCTTAATATAAAAAAATCCTAAAAATTTGAAATTGTCACAGTGTGGAACCACGTGACATGTTGATTCTATCGGATAGGACCGAAATAGGCGCTCGCGCCGGAGCGCAAGTAAACTAGGGCCCGATTGAGCTAGCTTGTTTGTGAAAATTCTGTATATCTTTAATTTGGAAGATTTTATATTGTAGCTTTTTGAGCTATATTTTAATTCTCAATCTAAATCTATTATCTAAATTGATATAATTTTATTGAATTAAGGTAAAGTTATTAAAATTCTATTTCTATTTACTTGTTTTATAATATTATATAACTTTTATTTATAAATATATTGTTTTTATAATATTTATTCTATACTTATCTAATTAATCTAAAGATACCTTTGAATTCAGTATTTTTATAATCAAGGATTCTCAGGTTTAATATTAATATTTCTAATCGATATCTATATATTATATTAAACTAAAGAAAACTAATTAATTGTTTAAATATAAAATCTCTAAAGCTTTAATTCAGGAATATATCCAAATTGTTTTATAAAAACAAGTTATTATTCAGAATACTTATTTGCTTAATTATTTTATTGAATTCATATTTATTATATTTATTTATATTAAGATTATATCCCTTGAAACTCTTATTAATTTTATTCCTGAATCTATTATATCTACCCCAATCACTCAATTGAATAAGTATATCCCTAATCCAAAAAAGTTTAATAATATCTATTCCAATTTGTATAGATTTATTTAATAAATATATAGAAAATTGAATACAAATAATAATAAATTCTTAATAACTTTTATTTAATTAACTTATATTATTAAAAAACTTATTGAAAAGATATATAAACTTATATTATTTAAGATCTTCTATAGAATTCTCTAGTTCACTAATTATACTATATTTCTCAAATATCTCGAAAATATTTTTAGAGATTTTAATCGAATACAAAATATATAAAATAAACTATATATATTGAAACAAAAACACCTCGATTTTAACACCTTCTTTATAGAATTTCAGAGATTTTCCCTGAAAAAAAAAATACTCAATAATATTCTAATTTTATTTCTATTTTAAGAAATCTCTTACAAATTATAAGATATATTATTATATAATCTTATTCCAATTCATAAATTTTATTTATATATCAACTATTTATAATAACTCAATAATCAATTTTATTAATATTAATAATAAATTCATTATATTTATTTTATTACTTTCGAAATTTTACCCCAAAAAATAATCGCTACTCTACTTTTATAATTAACTAATTTAAAAATTATTTCTAAAGATTTAATAGATTTAAATTTAGAAAAAAAGGAATATATTACTAAAAATCTAAATTTATAGCAGAATTATAGTAAATACTATTACTATAGTTTTATTAATTATTTAATATAAAACTATTTATACCCTAATATTCATTTTATTTAATTCTGAGTTACTATTATTATAACTAATTCTACAAAAACTAATCCTATATTGAATAGTTTTTTAAAAGATTGAGTCTTTATTTATTCTTTATTTTGCTTTTCTTTCTATTTATCAACTAACTCAATTAATTTGGGAAACAGGATATATCTAATCTAAATTATAATTAGAATAATTCTTTACATATCCTTTACTTATTTACTACTATTACTTATAACCTTCTTTTAGAAAATAAACTAAATAATTATACAGATCTAATAATTCTATTTTTAGAAAAAGATATTCTCTTAATATATATTATAATTAATAACAAATATAAGAGAATTATCTTTATAAATCAAAATTGAATATCTTTTTAGAAAATATTAATATATTAATTATCTATAATATTCAAAGTTATAAGATTCAATAGAAATACTTTGTTTAATAATTGAATTACTTTTTATATCTAAATAGAATTTAGAATTAATAATTATATTGAGAAGAAAATTGTTTTATATATAATTGAATTAGTTTATTATTCTATTATATTAAGAATAGTTTGGTTTAAGAAATATAATCCTTATATTAACTTTGTAACAAACTTATTTTAATTTAATAATTCGTTTTATTACAAATTTTGTAATATTTTATTCTATTTTTTTTATATAAAAGCTTTATTAGATATTTCTTTAAAAACCCAATTTATATATTTATATATTTATTTTAAAGAATTAAAGAATAAGAATATAACTATAATTTTTCTAAAAGTTTATTTGGTTTATATTTATTAAAAATACAAAATATTTTAAATATCGATTAAACAAATCGATAATATTCTAAATAAAAAGAAAAAGATATTTGATCTTAAAGATCTATTATTTGAGTTCCGAAATTAGAAAGATATCTTTTTTTAAAGAATTTAGAGAAACTATCTTTTTATTAATTATATAATTATAAGATTTGTTTTAAAAAAAGAGATATTTCTTCTTTTAATATTTTATATTCTATATTCTATTTTGAATTAAAAGTTTTAAAAGAATAATTAAAAGAGAATCTTAGAAAAGGATTTATTTAATTGAATTCTTTCTTTATTACTTCCCTTGTTTTGTTTATTAAAAAGACTAATAGAAGCCTTTAGTTTTATATAGATTATTACATTTTAAATAATTTGTTAATTAAAGATTGATACTTTTTGTTATTAATAAAAAAATCTCTAAACAATTTGAAAGAAATAAAATATTTTAATAAGATTAATATTATCTTTATTTTTGATAATATAAAAGTAAAAGAAGGATAGGAATATTTAATTATATTTTATATTTAATTCGGATTATTTGAATCCTTAGTTATATTATTCAAACTAATAAAAACTCTTATAATCTTTTAGAAGTTTATTAATAATTTTTTATAAAAATATCTGAATATATTTTATATTATTTATTTAAATAATATTCTAATATATAATCGAATTTGAGAGAAATATATTTGTTATATTTAAAAGATTCTATAAGTATTATAGGAAGTTAATTTGTTTACTAAATTCGAAAAATATGAATTTCTAAAATCCAAAATCAAATTTTTAGACTTTATTATAGAAAGTGATAATATTCAAATGAATCTAAAGAAAACTCGAATAATTGTAAATTAGAAATTGTTTATTAATATAATTAATATTTAAGTATTTATTAAGTTTTCGAACTTTTATTAATAATTTATTAGAGATTTTTTGAAGATTATTAATTTGATAATAAATTTGATCAAAAAGAATATTCTGTTTTTATAAAGTTTTGTTTATCAAAAAATATTCAATTAATTGAAGCAAATATTTATTGAAGTATTTATTCTGGTTTTCTTTGATTAGGAAAAGGAAGTAATTATAGAAATTGATATTTTTAATTATATATTCATTAGAATACTTTTTTAATATAACAATAATGAAGTATTTAAATCTATTGTGTTTTTTTTAAAAAAATATTTAATAATTGAATATAATTATAAGATTTATAATAAAGAATTATTAGTTATTATTTATTATTTCGAGAAAAAATACTTCGAATTAAAAAGTGTTATATTATTAATTTAAGTGATTATTGATTATAGGAATTTGGAATACTTTATTATAATAAAGCTATTGAACTATTATTAAGCTTATTAATTCAAATTTCTATTTCAATTTAATTTCTGAATCATTTATTATTCCAGAAAACTAAATATTAAACTTGATATACTAATTAAAAGATTAAAAGATCTTTTTAAAAAGGGAAATAAATACTTTTTATATCAAAATTGTATTATTTTGAAATAAAAGAACCTAGATTTTAATCTGTTTTTTATTATTATTATTTTAATCGAATTTAAGATTATTAAAAAAGTATATTTCACTATAATCATTTATAGCTAAAGAAATTTCGATTCTATTAATATTATTAATCATTTAAATTCTAATAATATTATAATTTTGTTAGAAAATAATAAAGTTATAAAATCTGCAATTCTATAGGCTATATTTATATTCAATTTTATAATATAATTAAAAAACTTAGAAACCTTTTTAAATCTTTTAATTAATTTATTTATTTTGTTTTATAAAGATTATTAAATTAATCTGGTATTCAAATCTATTCTGAAATCCCTATAAAAAGGATTTCTGAAATATTCGAAAATCATTTTTGTTGAGTATACTAAAAATAATAATCTATTATATTATTAAGAGAAACTATATATTCCTAACTATAACTCCTTGAAAATCTATTTATTTTATTTATATTACAAATCGCTTATTACTGATTATTTATATTATATTTAAATCTTTGAATTATTATTCCGAAATTATCATTAGCTTGAATACTATAATTATATTATATAATGAATTTGTAACTATTATAATTATTATTATACTATTCTGAATTATAAAGATTAGAAGGGAATTCTCTATTCACTTCTGATTTTGTAAAGAATTTGATAAGATATTTTAATAGATTTTATTATATATTTATTCAAAAATATTAATTTCGATGTTATTATAATAATAATTAATTAATTAACAAAAATAAAACATTTCTTATTTTATTATAATATTTATAACTTCAAAAATATTATTTATTTGTTTTAAAAAAATATCTAAAAACTTTATAATTTATTTTTAATTATTATATTTGATTATAAAACTTAATTCGTTTCTAAATTCTAGAAATATATCTATAAGTATTTAAGTATAGTTATTAAGTTTTCAATTATTTATTATTTTGAAATTAATAAATAAACTGAAAAGACTAATGTAATATTGGAGTAGTATTTCCGATTATATATAATCTATTTATAGAATGATTAAGTAGAGTAGCTTCTATTTGCCAAATTCTTTATTAACAATATTTAATCTAAGAGTATTTGAATAACTCTATTTTTTTCGAATTATAGGTTTTATTTTTGTTTAGATTTTAAGCTTATATTGTTTTAGAGTATTTGTTTTGCTATACAAAATACTAAAGAATTTATTATTAAAATAAAAGCTATTTTCTTATATCTATAAACCAAATTGATTATTAATCAAACTTAATATTCAAAGAATATTAATATATATTATTTCTTTGTTTATAAATATTTATCCAATAATCTAATTTAATTAAATACCAGAAATATTAAAACTTTATATTTATAGAAAAAACTCAATTAAAAGAATTTCGAATTTTTTAAGATTTTAAATCTAATAGATTCTTATATTTATAAATTAAAATTCCCTATCTTAATAAAAATTTACTCTATTTTTTATATTAATTTATTCTATTTTATATATAATAATTCTATCCCTAAATAATATAATCTATTACCACCACTTATTAAAATCAATAATTTGAAATAATTTGAAATTATTAAAATCCTAAACTTTTATTAGAAAAAAAAAGATTATAAAAAATCTTATTTGAAATATATTATTTACTAAATTGATTACAAAATATTAACTGAAGAATCTGCAAACTATTTAAAGAATATATAAGAATTGATTTATAATTTTCATTAAAAATATTCTAATAAATTAGAATCTATTTAAACAAATATTGTTAATTTATAATAACTAAATTATAATATTCCTATTTCAATAAAGTTCAGTTTTTAGAAAAGAAATAATATTATAATATAGAATTATATAATATATTAATTCTATTAAATAAAACTAAAATAAATACTCGCATTAAAGCATAAATAAACTAGGGCCTAATCGAACTAATTTATTTATAAAAATTCTATATATCTTCAATTTGGAAGATTCTATATTGTAGTTCTTTGAATTATATCTTAATCCTCAATCTAAACCTATTATCTGAATCGATATAACTTTGCCGAATTAGAGCAAAGTTATTAGAGCCCTATTCCTGTCTGCCTGCCCCGTGATAGAAATTTTCAAAATAGATTTGGAATCGCTTGAATTTTATAAGTTTAAATTTCTATTAAATTATATTCTATATTAATAAAAATATCAATAATCAAAAAAGTGAATTTTGGTGTAAAAGGGTGGCCCAAAACAGGGGTGGCCTAAAAGTAGAGTGTTCGACTTACTACCTATGAACATCTAGCTCTCGTATTGACTCTACGGAGTAGAAGATAACGTTTTGAAACCCTATGTCAAGATAAGGGTCTATATCCGTATAAGTCTAGAACAAACAAAGTACTATAAATAACCGTTAGAGTTTTCTAGAAGTTAGCTAAAGAACGTAGCTCATAACACTAAAAACAATCCGATTGAGATTGAAATCACATAAAGTAGATAAATAAAGCTCAGTCATCAACAGTCGATGTATACATAGACTATTGAAATCATACTGAAGTTTAATTACAATTTACATGAATTGCTTTTGATACTTCTATAAGTATTGTGAAATGCTCCTGTGTAATGAGATTTTACCCCTCGATTGACCCCAAGCTCCTAGCGTTGCGTATTTCTCATGACTACTCGGTAATCAGAAAAACTTTTATGCTCGACATGATCAAAGTTGCATGATTATAGAAAATTTTGTTTAAACAATGTAATATAACTTCACTCTGTCAAATATCTGAACATTCTAGTGGATCGAATGAATATAAAAGGCTTTTTCATATGTATACTTTATGTAAGTTCTGATATTCTATAAGATACTACTCATTCTATTCTAAATTCAAGTATAATACTCAGTAGTAAAGTAACTATTTTCACTATCTGATTACTTACTCATTTGAGAATGCTACAAATCGTAGAAGAAGCTTTCTATTAATCAAATGTATTTCAAAGTATCGAGATGTAAGTATGAATATAAGACGTGGAGAATCTGCCCCACTCAACTTCTTTACGTAGAAATTTGATACAACTAACGAAATAGTCTCCGATAGAAAGGCCATGTCTTTATGAAAGTCAGATGGAGTTTTATAAAGCTCAGCATTCCCTCTTTATACTGAAATAGTAGATAAGATAAACTAACCAGAAGTTTGCCTCATTGTCTTTTCTATTTGCATCTCGAGGAGTTGTCCTTGTAATATAAAGCTTATAAGAGTAATTTCAGGGTAAGAATGTTAAATAAAATATCTTATGAACACTGTACCTCATATGGTAAGTACTCGTTCTCATCTCGAACAATTCATCGCTGGTTATGAATAATATCACGAATGATACGACTTCTCAACCTTTGTAGTCGGGACACACTACAATTGAGGGTTTGGACTGTGTTCTAGCTAGTGCGTTGTTGATGTGAAATTACTACCTTAAGTTCTCAATGATATGGCTTGCTGTAGCTCAAGGATCACTCGTCAACTCTGATCGTATATGAAACGAGGCTCACAGAACTAATCAAGGGCAAAAATCAACAGTTTCCAGGGAAATATAAAAGGCAAATCATTTAATTTCAGTTAAGGGGGTATTTTGTAATCATAAAATATTACAGATGCTTCTACTGATATACGAAGACAGATGTGACTGATCGGGCTTCAAGACACCAAATGAACTCATTTCATAGCCCAATTTGTAATAGTATCATAACGTACTATGTAGACTTTCTACGGATACAAGAAAAGGAGGTGTCTGAACCTGATTCTAATCATCCCGCACCTAGACCGAGATTTAAAATGCAAAAAGAAAACAAAAAACGCCACATTAAAATCATGTCAATACCTTGACTTCCTTGGCCAATCCTCATATATCATATCTTGACCTGCTTTATCATCGTCTGCAACCCCTCTTCGATACCCAAAAACGTCTCTTCCATCAACCCTGTCGGAGCACTTATATCACCGGGCTGCATCAAGAAACAACTCCTTAGTCTCGTACAAGCACTCAGGCAATTTCCAAGCTCCCTTGCTATGATCTCTGAAAATAGTCTCCTTTGATCAGCAATGTCGATTTTGAATGTGCCAAAATCGAGTTGTGGAAGCCCGAAAGGATTTGGAGATGGAGAACTGGAGATGGAGGGCGTGTTTCGAGGTGATGGAGTGGAGGGTGAGCGTCTTCGAGGGTCGTCTTGTGTAAATATGAAGCAGGCTTGCGAGTAGAGATTGTGGATATGTTTTAACGCGATCACAGAAATCATTAAATGGGTGAAATCCATCACTGGTGACGAATTACAACTATTACCTGGTTGAATCCCAGAGTGAATAGAGAAAAAGTCTTCCGGACTGGTACTTCTTGTTGTGTTTGTAGCCAGTGTGCTGTCAAATATTTGAGCCAGCTCAGATACCGCACTTTTGTTGGTGGCAAGGATTACATCGAGGGATAGAGAAGATGGATCTCGAAGTAATTTTTGGAGTTTGCTGATTATAACGAAGCATTTTGATGTGAAGCGCCATGAAGCTTCATATTGTGTGACCGAGGAAAGTATAGGAGAGTTCATATAATGAGATTGGGCTGTAAATGAGATTTTATTATTATGCGTAGTCTGTGTCACTCGATTCATGCTTTGGTGATGCACATTCGTTTGACTCGTGGTAGAGTGGGAGGTAAAACTTCGATCAAAACCACAATCTGCATCGAAGGAACCATTACTCTCCGGATACTCATACATCTCACGGGAGAAACCATGAGTATGATGATGTGTTGGAATTGTTGGACGCATATATGATTGGGATTGAGATCTCCATCGCAACTCATTTTGGGCGTGTTGAGCTTGTTTTTCTGACGAGTCTGAATGAGTCCTTTTCCGAGGATGAAATGTAGGAATTGGTGAAATTGGTATTGGACCAGCAGTTTGCCTCTTGGGACTTCTGCTGGCATCTTGAGAGCTGGTGGTCGTATGAACATCATGAATTGAAAAGTCATATTCGAAGTCTCCATATTCCGGATTCTTCATGCTATCTGCATTCGAGGGGTTCTCGGGTGCAAGCGAGCTGAGGGCATCAGCTCTTTCATCAGAACTAAAATCCCATGAGAATTCGTGTTCAATCATTGGAGTCTCCAGGGATGATGCATCTATGCTTTCCAAACTCGTCGAGAAATTCTCTGGTGCCGAGCTTGAGGTAACTTTGTCCTTGTTTTCCCCCGGAAGAATGTTGCAATGCGCAGGCGAAGAAGTTGTGCCCTCACTAGTTTCCATAGGTACATCGTTTTGCTTGTTGTTCAGGCTATTGCTGTTGGGCTCATCATTAATGACGTCCGCGCTTGCCACGGATACCATCTCTGCTGTAGTGTGAATATTTAATGACTGGTCGCCGGATCTAATGCAGAACTTGTTAGCTCTCTATTTTCACTCTTGAATGGGTAATAATCATCTGGGTTAACCTACCTAGGGGTTGTTCCTGTCAATGCTGTATTTTTAAGCACTGATGCCCGCCTACGATGGCCTTGCACTTTCCCCACCATGGAGACACTATAGGTGCATTTTTGTTGGTTATATACACAACGTCGACATCCGGTACGTTCTCCACTACATCTGACCTACTTCGAATGAATACTTTAACGGTTCTGGGAGGGTATTGATAATTTTTCTGACCTTAGATGCATGACATTCATTACAAGCATGTCGTAGCTTTGGAGGTTTTTGTGGTCTGTTGTTTGGAGCCATAATTAATATGATTTTGAACACAAAGTTGGAGATGGGCAAAAATAAAGTGACCTACGGTGACATGATAAGTGATTTAAGCGGTTTAACTGATTTGGATGCAGAAGAGGTTGAATTAATGTATGAACCAAGATATGCTCGAATGCTTTCTTGACAACCGGTCCTCGGAGAATATAATCAATTTGATAGCCGTATCATGATTATCGTTATCTGTTCCGATTTCTCTTTGCAAATGTCTCAAGTGGCTCACCCGCATAACGCACTTGCATGCTGAATCTCCACGCCTGCGGAACGTCATGGTTAATTTGATTAACAATCGCATTTACTTTAGCCATTTACAACCCGGCGGACGCTCCGCAGAATGATATGGAAGAGCCTTCCTACCAACTGAACCGTAGATCTCATTGCCTCCATAATGCTGATTACTGATATACATAGTTTAAGTTTGTTTTAATAAGGTTAATCAAGACAGGCAATACCCTATTCACGCTTGACTAGCCAATATAGGCACTAATTCGAGTTGTTAAACAGAAGTCCCGGGCATGTTATGGTAATTCGCTTGCAGCATGCCCCCCCTGAAAATCTGTGGTTCCGGTCACACCTGTCAAGCATAATCGTATTTCCCCAGAATTTAGGGTTACCGAGCTCATACCGGCATGGTGACACGCACATGGATAATTCGCGTCTGCTATCTACAACAATAACGGACGGCCGACCAAAACCCTAAATGTAAAGCCAAGGGTTTTCAATGGTCCACGGGTATCTTCATCTACTATTCGCGACTAGCATTAATAACGAGTATGTCACTTACTCACTTATTACAAATAATAAGGGTTTCGCCTGTTTTGAATACCTACTTCGTATAGCTTAGAAAGAAAGCCTCCACGGAGGTAAATATAGTAAGTTTACTACACCGCTTTTCTTTTACCTCTGAGAGAGTCGTTCTGCCCGAACAAACCGATCCTGGCTAATGAAGGCGGTATAGCATAACTCAATTCGTATACCTAGTACTTTCGTAATACCCCTCACCGGGGTATTTATATAGGCACGGTCACAGTCACATATCTATTTAAGGAACAACAAACAGATCTGAAACTAAGAGCCCATTTGCCAATCGTATGTCCTGAGGTCGTAATCTGTATAGCAATTCGAAATCACATCTACAAAATAATCGCCATAATTCAAAAAATTAGTTTACATGCCTTGACATGTCTTGAAGTTTGATCGTCAAACAGGCGCTAATCTCGTATTTCGTGCGTATTCCAGATCCTGACAAGTACCACATACATGTGGAATTCAATTAGATACATACAGCCAAGCATTTTCAAATTGACCGTTATTTAAAGAATAAAAAGGTTCTGAAAGGTGCTTATCTGTTGTAAGTGTTTTGATCGGTGTTTGGGTTTTCCGTGATTTCCCGTAAGGTTTAAGCTCAATTAGCGTGTCGCCATTTCAATCGGTAGATATCGGTAGTTGACAGCCTTAACGAGTCTGCAGGATCCTACCTATATAATTGTGACATAATCTGACATCGTGAGGATTCATCTTGATTAAACTTCACACCGGAGTATAGGGAGATGATTTGTTTCCGTTTTCTAACCTTTTTCTTCAAAAAATACATGCTTGTGGGAGGGGTCCCCTCCAACTAATCTCAAATGAGCAAACATTATTCTCCCGATCTTGAAACAGGTGGAAATCATTACATTCAACAGGAAGCCCCCCGTTTTCACGCAGATTGTTTTCCACTTTATGTTTTCAAGTCGAACTCTACTTCATTGTTGCACATTGCAGATGTCATTTCCCCTTGCCTTTGATAATCAATGCTGTTCGCTAGTAGCAAAGGTGGCTTTTGGTTTCCCGGAGTAAGCCCTAAACTTTATTTTGAGTGCTGCAATATGTATAAGTGGGACAAGACGAAGGGGCAGAGCACGGGGTTGCGCAGATCTCCTTCATCACCACACCCACGAAATATCATTCTGACTTCCTGTGAATGGCTAATGGATATGTTGGCAATTTCATCTTGCCATTTTTCGTTATCTGTGTTCTAGATATATCAAAATCTAGTCAAGGAATCTACATTTTGTACCACGTGGTATTCACAGGTCGGTCGCCCACTTTCGAGATCTTCTTGCAATAAAGGCCGCAAATTATCCACCAGCTTAGTTAAATCTGAATCCCCCGCGGCGCAAAAAGCTTCTTTGATTGCTTCCACCATGGAATTGTCCGGACCGAAACGTTCACGACTCATAATCGCAACTTGTGCAGGAAGACCCACTGTAGCTCCTGGCAGTGGAGTTGAATACAGCACGACCCAGTCCACATTTTTCGAGTCGGCACCCCAGGCCAGGAATGCAACGTGGTCTGATATATGGCTCAGATGTCCAGTACATTGGCAAAGCCAAGCATCATCGAGGCCAGCAACGGGGGAGTCGATTCCAAAGGCGGTGTAGATACGTTCTGGCTGGCTAAGGGGAGTAAGAGATACCAGCTCTTGGTTTGTACAGGGCCAAACTCCATTCATGACGGGTGCATATTGAATAACAAAGTTCTTCGTGCGCTCCCAATAATACTGTTGAGAAGTATGGGTCATGTACCACGATCCATAGAGCCAGTTCTCTGGAGTAGGAGTCCATGATTTGTCTTGCACACCCTCGATGAATGATGGAGGTGGTCGGACTTGGACCGTTGCTTTCGATTGAGATCTGTGGCTTGTCATCGTATATTTGGTCCAATACAAAAGCCGTAGAGTGAGAAGTATGTAATTTTGAGATATTGAGTTGTAAACTAATCGATATGATTTTGAGGTCGAGTGCACCCTAGCTTTTATCTTATGGCCGGTGTTCTCAGTAGGCCCATCGGCCACCGCTGCTATACTCGCACGTATCATATGATGTCTCGGTTTGCATATACTTAGAGTTTTTCACTCCGAGCTTTGAGTCAATCGTACAATTCATCCCTCAGTTTCACTCAAAATTATCGTCGTGCCACTACTTCAGTGGGATATTTCTTTCTATAAAATATCTGGTAGTCACAAGCTATCCGGATAACATTCATTTGGCGCATATGCTGTTGTAAAATGTGTTGCACTAACTTCTAGAGTGTGCCAATACCAATTTTGATAGATTACCAGCACAAGCACACAGAAAAACGCATATCGGCTCAACTATAACTGCGTGAAATCGGAGGATCGTGATAGAAGACTGTTGATATCAACTTGGTTGATATAAGTGTAAAGTACTTTAGTTTATTATGGTTATATTCATTCTTAATCATTATTATCTATAAAAAGCTAATATTTTATATAGGATAGCGCTAGCGTGATACTAACTAATACAATGCTTTTTTTGATTATATAATCGATATCCCAATACTGATAATTTTCTAAAAATGAATATAATTATATACTTTAATCTATAATCCATTTCTTTAGACACAATATTCTTTTAGCTTTTTTTAGTTTTTTATTTTCTTTTTATTTAATACATCTCCTTAATAATTATTTTATTAATATCAATTAAATCTTTTAATACTTGATATACACCATTTTTGATTATAATATCCACAAGATTTGATTTTTTATTAATTTATTTAATCTTTATAATCTTTTTATTCTTATAATATTGTTTTAAAACTATAATATTAATTAAAAACCATTTTTTTATATTTATACCGAATTTAGTTAATAGATTATATAATAACTTTGAATTTATATAGAATATAAATAATATTAGTTTTTTAGGCTTGAGAATAGTATTAATTATACCTTTAATAACTACTCTAATATTAAAGTTTAGAATTAATGTATATAGCTTAGAAGCTAATATACTCCTAATGATTTTTTTATATTTGATTAATATTTAATAAATAATATTAATATTATTATATTTATTTATTAGGTAGATAATATAGTTAATTTATAATAATAAATTAGTATTATTAATGAAGGATGTGTCTATAAATACAATTAATTAAATAAAATTCATATTTAAAAATATAAATATGAATTCTTTTGTTAAATTATTTATTTGTTATTTAATAATTTTATTAAGTTTAACCACATTTTTCTCTTTTGGATCTATTATCTAGATAATAATAAAAAAATAATATAATATCTTTAGTTAATATATAATTATAATATATACTTTTTTTATATATTGAGTAATATATTAATTTTTTAAAATAATATTTTTTTGAATTTTTCCTTTTATATTATATATATTAATATTTTCTAATATAATTATTCTAATATTATTATATTATTTCTTTTAATTTAAATAGATTTTATTATTTTTAAGAATAATTAAGCTATTATTAAATTTAAATAAATAATTATTAATAAATTATTCTCTATTTTTAATTATAAAATAAATCTTGTTCAATTACTTTTATTTTAAATATGCAAATCTTTTATTGGTAATTATAAAAATATTATTTATCTAAAGTTTTATAATATTGATATTATTATTGGAATAAAATAAATAAAGATTATATATAGATTATATTATATTTAGTTTATTTCTATAATGGTTGTAATAGGTTTTCAAATTAATAATTTCCTATTTCAAGGATATTATATAGGGATTTAATAATATATAGAATATATTTATCTTTAAATCTAATCTTTTTCAATATTTCTATATAAATTGATTTATTTAATATTATAATTAATTAAATATATATTTATATAATATTTTATAAATAAATTTGAATATCTTTATTTGATATTTGTAAAATAGCGGTAAGTATAAGAATAATATATTAACTAATATATTAAATAATTGATAATTATATTAAAATAATGATTTTATTTTTATCTTAATATATTTAAATTATTAGTTATAATTTAGCATATATTTTATTAATACCTTTATTCTTTATTTATTAATAAATTATAATTTAAATAGTTTTATTCTAAATAATATATTAGTTTTTGAAATAATTTTAAAAACTTTATTTTTTATTAATTTGTTAATTTTCTTATATCGGAATTCTATATATTTTATAAATGTATTTTCTTATAAAAATATAGTTAATTATAGTGGGTTAATATTAATATTCATTATATTAATTATATTAATCAAATTATTTCTTATATATCAATATAATTATATATCTAATTATATTATTAATAATAATATTTGGGATTATAATATCTCCATTTGTAATATATTAATTATTATAATATTATTATTATTATTATTTATATTTCTATTATTTTGTTCAATTTCTTCCGGTTTTATATAAAAGGGTTATATAGATATAAAATAAAATTTAGTTAATTTATTAAAGAGTTTTATCTTATATATTTTTTTATTTATTTTAGTCAAAGGGTATAATCTAGTTCATTTGCCTAATATATTATTTTCTTTATCCTTTTTTTATATCAAAACCTTTGAGTTCAAAGGTAGAATAAAAATTAATATTGTAAATAATCCATTTTTTAATCTTAATACCTCTATAATTTATTTTTTAATATAAATATAATATATTTTTATTATAGCTTTTTTTATAGCTTTTGTATATTAAATAATTATTATAATTAATAGATTAATATTATTCAATCTAGAATATATTCTATAAATTAATAATATAGAAACAAGCCCATTTGGTTCTATTATATTATTTACAGTTTTTATTATTATTTATAGAATTATTATTTTAGTTAGATTATTATCCTTAAGTTCTTTAGTCAAAATCTTATATATATAATGTAAGAGGTGATAATATCTTTTTATAATATTTATAAAATTATATGTTTCAATTAGTATACTCTTAATAATAATTGATATAAACTTAATGTTTTAAATAAACTCTTTATTTATAAAGTTCTTTTTTATATTATAAATAATATAGTTTGGTGATTCAATATATATATTAATCTAATATTCCCTAAAGATATTAAATATATATTTAACGAATATATTATTAAGGAATTAAATTATTTAATAGTGTATCACTTTATTAATAATATATAAAACTAATTTACCTATAATATACATAATATTGATATATATAATATAATTAAATTCAGTATTCTTTAGTAAAATAAATCTAAAATATTTGGGTGATTTACTGTGTATTTAATAATGTTTGTAGTACTTAATAAGATATTTAATAGTATTATTATTCTTATTATAGCCTGCCCATTATAATACTTAATAAAAACATTATGCTAATAAATAGTTGAATTGTCAATATAAACATTATAGTTTGATAATAATTAAATAACAGTTATTCTAGTAAATTGACTCTTGAATAAATTGATTTATATCCATTTTCCATATTAAAAACATATGGTCATATTTTCTAATAATAGAATATTAATCATTTAATATAATAAACTGGTTAGTAATATTATTATAAAATACTTTAAAATAATCCATATCCTCAAGACTTAATAAGAATAAAATATCAGTATTCACAATATAAAAATTAATATTTTTAAATAATGTATTAATACAAAATAATTCTATTAATATTATAATTCTCTTTTTAAAATATATATTTGTAATATCTATTATTTATGAATTATATATAACTAGATAAATTTGCTTTTATATATAATATTATCCAATCCTAATAATAGACTTTTCTATATATATTATATTAATATATATATTATAAAATTCTTTGCTTATATAACTTATATAAAAAATATCCATTACACTTTTTATTAATAGAATAACTTTAATTAGATTTCTAGTTATTATATACAATATTATATTAATTAATAATTAATTGAATATTTTCTGATTATTGATAGGCTTAAAGCTTACAAAAAATGCTTTGTTTATATTGTTTTTAATATTAAGATTTGTGAAAAATAGGTTTATTTTAATTTCTGAATTAAATTTTATATTAATAGCTTTTTTTTATATTTGATTATTTATTGATTATAACATTTATTAAATATATTATTATTATTATTCTTAATTTTCTCCCTATATTTACATCTTTGTTTATTTTGTTTCTTCTTAAAGTATTTTATGGATTGATATCCCTTTTTTTTGTATATCTAATATTAATTATATTAATTTAAGAAATTAGAATATTATAATTTATTATAAAAATTATTTCTAAAATTATTACTTTTAAAATTATTATTTCTTAAATTCCTAGAATTATTTCAATTATTATTATTATTATTACGGAATCTTCTATTAATAAATAGTATTATATTTTTCTTATTCTTATATAATTTCTTCTATATATTAATAAATTATTATAATTAATTAATCAAATCAAATACCTCTTTCTTAGGATCAAAATAAGTCAAATTGTATACCTCTATATTCTTATATATAAATATAAATTTATTATGCAAATAGAATATTTATTATATAATAAAATTAAGTTGATATTATAGTATATATAATTACTTAATTATAATAGTAAGATATTTATTAAATGATTTATTTTTATTCTCCTTTTTAATTGATTTGAGAATAATATTATTCCATTTAGATAGCATATTATATTAATATTCATTTTTTTCAAAATTATTCTGTATATAGATGTATAGTTCTTTAAAAATAAATAATAGTAATTTATAATTAATATAAAAAAACTCAAGTATATTATTTTTAAGTATAATAAGGAATATCTTATATTACATATCCATTGGTATCTTTGTATATTATATGATTTCATAAAATATCGAGAGTTTAAAATCGAAATTATCATTATTCTCATTATATTTCTTCTTGTTGGTATAGAATTTGAATAAACTAATAAAAGATTACAAATTAGAATATATTAATGATTTCTTATTTTTATTATATCATCCCCTATTATTCTTTTTATTATTATTATTATTATTATTATTATTATTATTATTATTATTAGAATCTCTTTTTCCATTATTCTTTTTATTCTTTTAATCATTTTTTTTATATTCAAAATTATTTTCAATAAATTTATTAAATATTCCGGATTTAAACTTAGACTTTTTAATATTGTAATCTTTCAAAACTTTCTGAACTTATTTTTTCATCCATATATCTATAATAAACCTATAAAATTAATTATATAAAGCTTTAAATACTTTAACATCTGTTTTTGATATTAATACTCCTTGGGTATATAATATTATATATAGCTTTCATATATTTATCTAATGGATTTTCGCGAATTGTATAGTTATAAATATGTTAAAGTTATTATAAAAGATTTTAATAAGCTCATTATTATTAATATCCTTATAGTTATATTATTTGCACTTGAATTTGATATATTTAATGAACTTTTTAGCATCAAAATCAACAATTCTATTATTAATCTATTATTCCTTTAATAGGTTTAATTATTTCTTATAATACTCCTCTTTTTTCTTTATATATAGATTCTTATTGATAACCTTAAGAGCAATCGGACTAATAGCATTATTACTATCCAATATAATAATATATAAGGGTATTCCAAGATTTGTAGATATTTTAAAGATTATAGATATAAATATTTATAAAAAAATATTTATAAAGATATTTAAATAAAGATTTTGTGGATTATTTTGTATAATGTATAGTATAGAAGTGAATACATAATAAATATAAGCTCGATTCGTCACAATTGATAAGATTAATCTTTTTGAATATATTTTTCTAATATAATTATTTAGAGCATATTTTTTAATATAATAAAAAGAAATAATATACTATATTAGATACAATAATATCTTCTTTATAGTTTTTTCAGAATTTATATTAATCCTAAAAACTATCTCAAAATATCTAATACTTTGTAATAGAATCCAAGGCCCTAATTTATAATATCACTAATTAGTATTAATATCAACTTGATTGATATAAGTATAAAATACTTTAATTTATTATAATTGTATTCGTTCTTGATCATTATTATCTATAGAAAGCTAATACTTTATATAGGGTAGCGCTAGCGCGACGCTAGCTAATACAGTGCCCTCTTTGATCACATGATCGATGTCCCGACAAAGACTTTTCAGTGATATTTAGCTATATTTTGAAGCTGTACAAAGATATACTAAATCTTATCAAATTCAATTTTCCGTGAACAGCGGATTCTCCTTACACTTACGACCAAAAGGGTCGACCAGCTTGTAAACCAACACTTATACATCGCAACCTCTGGACGATGGGAGATCTGCATTATTCTCAGAGAAGCACATTTGTGTAAACATAAACGTAAACCCGATAATGTCTCATACTCTCAGAGTTCAAAAGCTCTCACAAGATCCGTTGATGATTCTTGGCTTCCATTACTTACTCGAATACAGGCGTAATCCATTTGTTCCAAGTTTCATCCTGCCTCAATCTCTTGGCTGCTGATTTCTCGATCCAAACAATCAAATCTACATTACCATTCCGCTGTGCCGGCATTGGTACTACTCTAGGAATGCAGTCCAAGAAAGGATTGGCCATCCTCAAAGCATCCTGAAATCCCAAACTTCCACCCCAGTCTTGCTCATAAAACCCCATATCTTTCAAATTACTAATGACCAAAATAGGATTTAGAGTCTTGGCATATGATACACGTTCCTCTGTAATATCGCCCAAGCCATCTAGAAACCCGATAATGTCTCTTATATGCTTATCATTGAAATCGTTTCGAGACTCGGAGATAGCAAGTGCTGTTTCAAAGATGGACCTTGGATGAATATCAAGGGTGATGGGGAATCCCAGAGAGGAATTTCCCATGAAGCTCTTGGGTAGTGGTGGATCTAGAACTGTACGACCATCATATGCGACAGATAGATTTCCCCGTAAAAGTCCTTGATCCCCTTTCGATATCCTAGCACGGTTGACACAGCACCACATCAATGCAGCCAGTGCATCGTTTACTGTTAACCAGGATGTTGCTGAACTTTCTATTGAAATATAGTCTCTGAGCTCCCCTAATTTTGAGTGGGAAATGCAGAAGAGGGCAATTTCCATCTCTGTGATTGAATTTGGGGGAGGGTCGATAAGATGATTTCTGGGATCTTCGAGCTTTGAGTTGGCAAGTTGCAACTTGTATTCTCGAACATCCATTCGCTCAACGTTAAGATTTCCGCGCATGAGTGGAGATCTATCAAGAAAGCTAGGTAAGACCTTGTAGTCCTGCAAGTCATCATCGAGGACCACTTCGGCTTCGGTGGGCCAAGAAGCTTTCACGTTCTTCGATAGAATGGAAAGGATGTTATTCCATGCAAGTACGTCACATGCTGTATGGAGGACACTCAGATGAAGAATCAATCCTCCATCGATGAAATTTGCTTGGGTAGCTATAACCGGCAGTTTTTCCTGAGTCATGTACCCCTTCACTGGACTGAGGCAGTCGTCTGTAAGGAGGGCACTCGGAAACCTTGCTTTTCTTAAACTTTTGTAGGAATGTGGCCATGAATTTCCGCTTCCAGTACGGAGGTCGTTAAAAATCAATTGATTTCCTTCGAAGTCTTCAGGTAAAGTTTCGATACAAAACTTTCCAGGAGAACCAGTGGAGACGACAGACCCGCCAAGAAAAGGGATTTCCTTTATAGTCTGCTTCAAACCTAGCTTCAAGTGTTTATAGATATCTTCAATGTTACTGCGGCGAGAGACTGGCCAGCTGAAATTCATACTGATCACATATGTTCGAGGCATGAGGTGATCTAGCGGCGTCAACTCAGTGATTAGAGTTTCGGTCGCGGAAGGTGTTGCCTGATTGGGAGGAGTGCTGCTAGACATTTTTCGAGAAAATAGGTAGAAAGTAAATTCTCCTTGAACGTCAAAAACCGCAGACCTTTTGAACTGTGCAATTTCTGATGGGGCTGTGCTCTCAGTATTCTGTGATGTAAATGAACTGAGAGCCACTTTCCAAGGTCCGCGGGATATCCACAACTTGTCTGGGCCTCCGGACACCGGTCATTAATCCCGAATATTCATCTTACTGGCAATTAAAATTTCCCATTTTCTTTCTGATTGGTATTTTGTCTTGTTTCGTCCACGAATTGAAAGTATCAAGAGGTCTTGGAATTTTCCTATCACGCATTCAACTTCTTTTCAAATATAGTCTATTATACATTATGGAGAACCCGATTTTAATACAGAAAGCCCCTCGGAGATACAAATCTGCAATTCCATTATTCCTGTTTCATGATGGTGGTGGAACAGTCCTACCCTATTACTTCCTTGAAAGCTTAAACCGCAATGTATGGGGAATATCATATCCACATCTTAATGATGACGGTACTTTTGAAAGTGGTATTAAAGGAATGGGAGAGTTATATGCTGGATACATCAGGGGAAAAGTCTCCAGAGGCAAAGTCCTCCTTGGTGGTTAGTTTCCCACTTTCTTACCTACACAAAATTACTCAAGTTTGCTACAGGTTGGTCTGCAGGCGGGTCAATAGCTATTCAAGTCGCAAAGTGCTTGGAGAATATTCCAGAGCTTTGTGTCGCTGGAATAATCTTGTTAGATACGCCATTCCCTGATTTTCCGGACTGGCGACCAAAGAATTCACCACCAGTTCAGTTTCATATCCCAGTGGCGCCGGATCAAACAGCAAAGAGTAGATTGGCACAGCAGCAAGCTGTCAATGATATTATCCACGCGTTGTCAGTCTGGGAGTTGCCAACCTGGGAAAACGGAAGGTACATTCTCCTTATTCTTTTCACTTTAAAACGTTGTGCATGTTAACGATGGATCGAGATTCAGACGACCGCCACCCGCTGTATTTATAAGGGCACTCAAGGTAGTACCGACAGAGAAGGTTGTAGAGGTCGACTGGTTTCGCGAAGAATACGCTTTAGGTTGGCAAAAGTATCCGTACAACTTTATAATTGAAGAGCTTCGAGTTGATGGTGATCATTTTAGTATCTTCACTCCTTCATATGTGAGTTACTACCTCTAGAGCTCGATTTTCTGATTGACTGACGTGAATAATTACAGCTACCGGAGTTGAGTACAAAATTGAGGGAAGCTCTGGAGCTGCTAGACTCCAAACCAGAGACTGGCATATTACTGGATTCCAAGCTGAATAGCAGCATAGTAATTTCGGCTTTATGAACAGACACAATCAAAACGCCAGGACCATCGTTCTTGACGTCGCAGTTGGCACAGTTTCGAGTTTCAATCATGAGAAACTTGGCGATTGTCATGCCACGAGAGCCACTGAAAACGTCGAGGAGATTTCATATGCAGACGCGAATACTTGTACTTTTATTGTATTACCCATAGATTACACAACCCTAAGTTTAAGAACATTGTATTAGACTACAAAAATCAAGCTAAGACTGAATATTTTTGTTCAATTCTAACGCGTCAGTTTGAGTTCAGGTGCTTTGTTTCTCCCCATGCTGCCCGTGCTCTCAAACAATCGGAATCCGATGTAACATCAAATCTGGAAGAACGGAGACCGAGGACCCACATCACCGCTGGAGAGCCATACGAAACCGCAAACATGGAGAAAGGTGAATAAGCTTTATGTAGAGACGATGCTTCCCCGCAAGGAGCTCATGGTTCCTGCCAAAGATCTGCATATATTCAGTACGACTTTTAGATTCCATCAAATTTAGATATCTTATTACAAGTTGATTTCCAGTATTCTCTATATTTTATCAATTGTTATGTTCATTTGTTGATTTTCTTCTACGTACATTACTCTTACAATCATTATAACCATGTCCTCTCCAGAGCCAGTTGCGATCATTGGCATGGGTAAGTTACTATATGTTTGTTCTTAGAGAGACGAAGTATCTAAACGTTGTTCAGGATGTCGCTTCCCAGGCGACTCGGATACCCCAGATGAGTTCTGGCAGATGCTTGCCGAGGAACGCTCTGGATTTTCAAGGCCGCCATTATCGCGCTGGAACATTGATGGATTTCATGCAAACAAGGCTCGACCTGGTTCTATAACTCCAGAAGGTGGTTATTTTATTAATGAGGATATTTGGAAATTTGACCCTGCGTTTTTTGGTATTGTACAAGAGGAAGCGAAGGCAATGGACCCTCAACAGAGAAAGTTACTGGAGTGTGTTTACGAGGCTTTTGAGTCCGGCGGGATCACGCTGAGCCAATTGTCGGGCTCCAATACAGGTTGTTATATTGGAAATTTTACTTCCGACTACTACCTTCAAGGTCATCGAGACCACAACAATCCGAGGCCTTATAGTTTATTAGGTTCTGGTTACACTATAATAAGCAACCGAGTCAGTTATCTTTTCGATCTTTGTGGTCCTAGGTAAGTTCCCTGACAAATTCATTTTTAAGTACAGAACTGAGAGTATGCCATTAGTCTCACAATTGATACGGCTTGCTCTTCCTCTCTCTACTCTCTGCATATTGCCTGCAGAGCGTTACAGACGAAGGAAATTGATGCTGCAGTAGTTGGTGGTACAAATCTGATGCTCGCCGTAGAAACTCAGATGAGTACAAATAAAGTTGGTGTTTTATCAGCTACATCTACTTGTCACACTTTCGACGAGTCAGCTGATGGATATGGCCGTGCTGAAGGTGTTGGTGCCATTTTCTTGAAGCGTTTGTCTGATGCCATTCGGGACAATGATCCTATACGTGGTGTAATCAGAGGCACGGCTACCAATGCGAATGGAAAGACCAGTGGCATCACTCAGCCAAGTGCGAAGGGGCATGAGATTTTAATGCGTACAGCCTATGAATTCGCCGGTCTGGATCCAAGAGATACCTCATACTTTGAGACACATGGAACTGGTACCCAAGTTGGAGATCCAATAGAGATTAAGGGAGTTGGAAATGTTTTCTTTAACGGCACGGACAGGCAGAAACTTCTTGTTGGATCGGTATGTTACACTGTCTGCGTATATCATTCATAATACTTAATTTTCTAGGTGAAAACCAACGTCGGACATAGCGAAGCAGCTAGTGCCTTGGCAAGTATAATAAAAGTATGCCTAGCTATGGAAAAACGCACAATACCAGCAACAATTGGTATAAAGAAATTGAATCCCAAAAGTAAGTTGTAAAGTACAGCTACTAGGATCAAGTACTGACTGTTCCATAGTCGATTTCAAGGGTGGAAGGATCGAAGTCGTTCAAAAAATGACACCTTGGCCAAAAGGCTTTGATACTTGTCGTGCGAGTATAAACTCATTTGGCTATGGAGGAGCTAATGCCCATGTAATCGTCGAAGCCGCCGACTCGGTCTTACCAGGAAAGTTAACTTACATCCGACGGGGTCAAGATAAGAGGAATCTGGAAGATTCCGAGCCAGACGAAATGGTGGGCACGAAATCTGCCTCGCAAGCGCGAGCTGTATCCCGTTCAGAATATCTGCTTCTGTTTTCTGCTCATGATATATCTACGTTGAAAAGCAACATTGAAAGGTGTCGTGACGTGGCCGAAGATTATAACATACTAGATCTTGCCTACACTCTTGGCTGTCGGAGATCGAATTTTTTTAACTGCGCTTACACGGTAGCACGAGAAGAAGATGTTGAGGAAGATCTTATGGAACATGAGATTACGTTCGGGAAAAGGGGAAAGGGTGGAAACATTGGTTTCATCTTTACAGGACAAGGAGCTCAGAATGCGCAGATGGGTCGAGAACTCATGTTGACATTCCCATCATATATCGACACTATACGGAAGCTTGATCGCTCGCTACAGTCTTTAGGGGATGATTCTCCGGAATGGACTATTGAAGATATCCTGATGGAGCCCGCAGTAACCAGTAAGATCAACGATGTTGAGATTTCACAGCCTGTATGTACAGCCGTTCAAATAGCTCTTGTTGAGCTTCTTCGACTTTGGAATGTAACACCAGTTGCATGTATCGGTCATTCGTCTGGTGAAATTGCATCTTCATATGCCGCACACCTCATAACCGCCGAGGAAGCTATCATCTCCGCATTTTATCGCGGACGAGGGGTTGGTACTCTCAAAGTGAAAGGTGCTATGTTGGCTGTTGGCGCCGGCCCCGAGGAAATACAGCCTTATCTCACTGACGGACTGCGTATTGCATGCTATAACTCACCTAACAGTGTTACATTGAGTGGTGATATTGAGCCTGCTACCGTAGTACAGAAGAAGTTAGAATCTGACAGGGTGTTTGTTCGTGAGCTGAAGACAGGTGGCAGAGCCTATCATTCATACCACATGCTGAATATTGGCAATGACTACGAAAGTCGCTTGACAGAAGCACTTTCCAAATTCGGCGCATCTCAAACCACCAATCAAGCTCAAGGGCAGAAACCAGTATTTTTCTCCTCAGTAACTGCTCAACAAATGCCATTGAATTTCAAACCAGGGCCTAGCTATTGGCGTCAGAATTTGGAGTCTCCAGTAAGATTCACTGAAGCGGTTGAAGCTGCATTGGCAGCAGACTTAGGCATTTCACAATTCGTCGAAATCGGGCCTCACTCTGCTCTAGCTGGTCCTTTGAGGCAGATTAGAGATAACCTCGGGATAACACCCAAAGACTTGGATTATGCTTCCACATTAGTACGTGGTCAGAGCTCTGTGACTCGTCTTCTGGATCTTGCTGGAGCTCTTACTATGAGAGGATTCCCGGTGGACATCGAGCGCGTCAACGCCATTGAAAAACGAGAGGGTGACGCCATAATCACACAAACTGGTTTGCCAATTGTTGATCTTCCTAGATTCTCATGGAACTACTCTGCCGGTGAGATAAGGAACAAAAATAGACCAAGCGAAGAATATCGCTTACGAAAATTCAAGTACCACGACCTATTGGGTGCCATTCTTCCAGGATCATCAGTGGAACAAAGACAATGGAGGAATATGCTTGACTCTAAGAATTTCCCGTGGTTGGAGGAGCATAAGCTTGGAACGCAACCTGTGCTGCCCGGAACTGGTTACTTGGCAATTGCAACCGAGGCTGCTCGTCAATTTTTTCATGACAAGCTAGCAGTCAATGGGGCATTCCAATACTTCTTTCCCAACATTAGCATCACATCTGCATTAAATATCCCACCTTCTGGATCCCAAGTGGAGATTGTTACCACTATGAAATTCGCCACTATAACTGCTTCGATTACGTCCAAAACTATCGCAGAGTTCACGATATCGTCCATTCAAGCTGGTAATTGGACGAATCATTGTGTTGGAACTGTCACAAAGAAGAAGGCTGTTGCCATGGCCCCAAGATTCGATGAAAGTAAATTACAAGAACCAAAGGCTGCTCGAACTTGGTACCGTGGTTTCCAAAAGGTTTCGTTGAATTACGGACCCGCTTTCAATGGGTTAAGTAATATCCGTACCAATCCAGCTCTGGAAGAAGCCGTTGCGGACACTGAGCTCTGTCCTGAAGGTGTCTCTGAGCATGATTCGGCATATATCGTACACCCCGCAGCAATGGACACCTGTATTCAAGTTGCACTGATTGGCGCACACAAAGGCTCCTTGGCCGGCTTGAAAAGGTCATTTGTTCCAACGTCCATGACCAATGTTTCCTTATGGTCCTGGGGCGATGATGCTCAAATCGCTCAATTGACCCCTGGAAAAGGCAAGGTCCTTGCACATGCAGAGTTTTTCAGTCTACGTGCCATGAGCGGGTGGTGTCAGCTTTTCTCGCCTGAAGGCAAGCCATTGTTTGCGATTGAAGAGCTTTCATGCACTCAATACTCAGAAGCCCTTGATGACCTTGGGACGATAGATCGTCACCCATACCTTCGCACTGTATGGAAGCCAGATGTCGATAAGATGATCTCCAACTTGACTGATAATTCCCTTCTCGATCTTATTGTTCACAAACGTCCTGGATTTAACATCTGTGAGATCTTGAATACAGAATCAGTGATCTCCGACAATCTTCACAAAGTTCTTGAAAGTGGTTCATCCCTTCGTCGGTACAAGACTTATACCATTATGACTCTAGGCGACGTTGATATAGAGCCACTAAAGATCAAGTACGAAGCTTTCCCCGGTGTTGCGGTGCAGAAGTTGTATCTAGACGACGTCCCAGAGACGTTCTTCGATTTAGTCATTGTGCCTCAATTTTCGAGCGACGAGATTGATTTAACCAAACTCAAAGGTGTATTGAAACCAGACGGAAACATGCTGCTTTATAAGTCAAAGTTCAAGGATGATGATACAATAAAAACGGAGTTTCAAGCAGCCGGACTCGATACACTTCTTGAGGATCAAGAGTCTTTGCTAATCAGTCCTCACCAAAGGACCAGCTCTGTCATCCCAGGAGGAGACATTGTACTTGTCACAAGGACTTCCCCAACAGTATTCGATTCTCATATCTATTCTGGATTGTCAAAGAGTGGAAGGTCAATAACCTCAATGTCCCTACAAGAATTCAATTCCCACGCTCATACAAAAGCAACCTACGTTTTTATTGTGGAATCTGAATCTAGTCTATTCCATGAATCTTTGACGAGCCAAGAGCTAGCAACAATACAAGCAATCGCAACTGAAGCGACGAATATGCTATGGGTTACTCATGGAAATCTTCTGGAGGGAGGAGATCCAAATGCTGGAATAGTTATCGGACTAGGCCGCTGTCTTCAGACAGAACATCCAACTCTCACTTTCAAAACTTTGGACTTGGATCATCGAGATCATATACAGACTATCTCCAACATAACAACAATCCTGGATGCAGCTGACAGTGGAGACGAGGATAAAGAGTTTATGGTCAAAAATGGCATTTTCTATGTTAGCAGGCTTTCTCAAGACCCTCTCCTAGACCAACAGTTTGTTGCAGGGGTTGAAACAGAGCCAAGAGTAATTTCATATGTGCCAGAAAAATGTGTCAGGCTGGGGATCGAGCGCGTCGGTATCTTTGATACGATACACTTCAAGGATGATGAGTGGAAAGCTTCACTTAAACCTGGAGAAGTTGAGGTAGATGTGAATGCAGTCGGTTTGAATATGAAGGTAAAAGACTCGATGACTTTTCTTGTTTCTCAAAGCTAAACTATTACAGGATTTCGCAACGCTTCAAGGAACTTATAATTCGGAAACACTTGGTCTTGAGGGTGCTGGTGTGGTCAGAAGCATCGGTCCTGGGGTCACAAACGTTGCCATTGGCGATCGAGTAAGCTGGGCTGGCTTTGGAAACTTCCGCAACATCGAAAGATATGACTCCAGATTCCTCCAGAAACTTCAACCAGAGGAGACCTTCGACCAAATGTCAAGTATTATGATGCCATTCTTAACTGCTATATATGGATTAATATACCTTGCCAAGCTCCAACCGGGAGAATCGGTACTGATCAATTCTGCCACTGGAGGTGTTGGACTTGCGGCAATTCAGGTAGCAAAAATGATTGGTGCTGAAATTTTTGCTACTGTTGGAACTCCAGAAAAGAAAAAATTCTTGATGCAAGAATATGGTATTCCGGATGATCACGTCTTATCCTCGAAAGACGCAAGCTTTGTAGCTGAGATTATGCAGACTACAGGTGGCCGTGGAGTTGATGTATCACTGAACTCGCTTGTTCGTGAAAATTTGAGAGCTACTTGGAATTGTATAGGACACCACGGTCGTCATATCGAGCTCGGGCAGACTGATATCCTAGATCAAGGCATATTGGATATGAGCCCTTTCAAGAGAGGTGCTTCTTTTATTGCCATGGACTTGGTTCTTGTTTTCGAACACAAGCCAGATCTTATTTCCCAGTAAGTAGATAAATTCACGACTGAATCTATTAATACTGACATCAACAGGATCTTGGGTGAAATCATGCAATACTATCGGGACTGTAAGATTAAACCCCTTCCAAATCTATCAGTTTTTCCTGCTTCTGCAATTGGCCAGGCTTTTGAAGAATTTGGCAAAAACAGTAGAATTGGAAGGGTTGTTGTCAGCTTTGACACTGAGAAGATCAATGTAAGTTATTTCACAGTTCGTTCAGAATGGTGCTAATCAGACGCGTCACAGTTTGCGAAGAAGAAGAAGTCGATTGCTTTCAAGTCAAATGGTTCATACCTACTTGTCGGGTGCCTTGGAGGCCTCGGTCGATGTTTGGCTCGTCATATGGTTGAAAAGGGCGCTCGTCACTTAATTTTCCTTGGTCGTTCTGGTGAGGACAGACCTGAAGCTGCATCCATGATCAGAGATTTTAGAAATGATGGAATCACTGTGGATGTAGTGAAAGGGGACGTTACTAGAATTTCTGACGTCCAAAAAGCTGTTGACTTGGCTGCCGGTCCGTTATTCGGTGTTGTGCAAGGTGTAATGGCCTTAGATGTAAGTTGACTGAAATGTGGAGTTTTATGAGTGATGTACTAAAATCATGAAATAGGATCGACTATTTACAAGCCATGACTTGAATAGCTGGGAATACGCCGTTCGTCCCAAGGTCACAGGAACTTGGAATCTTCACAATGCCGTTGCAAGCCACTCTTTAGACTTCTTCGTCATGCTCGGATCATCATCTGCTTTATCCGGCTTCCCAACACAAAGTAATTATTGCGCAGGAAATTCTTTCCTCGAATTCTTTGCGAGATACCGTCAAAGTAAAGGTCTACCAGCAACCACAATCTCACTCACCGTCGTCACCGAAGTTGGATTTGTGAGTCAAAATGAGAGAATCGAAGATGGAATAGCTAGAACAGGAGTTCATACCATCAACGAAGCTGGAGTCATTGATCTCATCGATACTGCAATGATGAAAGCTCCCTCGTCATCCTGGGACTTGGATCCACTGGCCAACAACTTCATTGTAACCGGCGTTGAGCCCCTCCAATTGAGTGCGGATCTCGACATTGATAGTATACCATTTTGGAGACAGCCACGCATTGGACCTGTTTTTAACGCTGTTCTGGCCAAGAAATCAGGAAACGATACTGGTCCTGGGCAAAATAAACGCAGACTTTTGCTACCCGATATCTTGGAGATGATAACAGAGAAATTTTCCCAGATATTTAATGTGGCTTTTGAAGATATTGATCCAGGAACTGAAGTAGTGAGGTTTGGTATGGATAGTATGATTGGAACGAGCTTGAGAACTTGGTGTTATAAGACTCTGGGAGCTGATATTGCAGCATCGGAGTTCATGAGCTTAAATTTGACGGCGGATTCATTAGCGAAGAAGATTTATGATATAAGAAAGGGGTGACGGAGGTAGTTAAAACCGTTCAGGTTTTTATTGAAACTCTTTTCGATTTAGTATTTGGTTAGTGCGTAGGTTAGCGTGTATACTTTGTCTTGTTTTTCGAAGTCATTTTGGATTTAACTTCAAAAATATTGGGTTCATTTAAAAGAATTTATATGTTTTATCTAGTATAGTGAAATAAATGAACAAACATAAATGAATATGAAATTAAGTCTCTTTACCTCACGAAAGATGGGAAATGAAGGTATGATGCTGTCTTTCTATTCTCCGGCGTGTCACATTGGTCTAGATGTAGAGTTGGAGGGTTGAAGTGTTTATTCAAGAACTTCACTTCCTTTACAATAGCTAACGTTTATTAATTCTCGACACCAGTTGAATCAAATACCGTATTAATTGGTTCATAGTATAATATCTTATAGCCAAAAAATCTAGTTTTTGATAAAATTGAACGTGTTCTTATATAACACATAATATCTTATATTCCAATGGATTTATTATAAATATTATTATTTTTCAAAACTTTTTAATTTTTTCTTTTAAAATATCTCCTTGCTTTTGTCTTTTATATTTCTTTTGCTTTTATTTCTATTTAAACTGAATAAATAAATATATATATAAATATATATATCCTTTTTTTTAAAAAAAAATTAAAGTATTTATTTATTTAATATAAGAAATTCAGACTAAATTTAATCAAGGTTTTATTATAATCAATTATAGCTTTATATATATCTGTTGGAAATCATATATATATAATACTAAGTAGTATGCTAGTAATAATATCCTTTTTCTATTCCGATAATATTAATAGTAAACTTTCTTTATATTATTTCTTTTATTATTTTACTAAAAAAAAGATTTTAAATTTTGAAAAAGAATTGAAAATAGAAGCTAATAAAACATTTCCTATAATTTTATCAATATTATATTATAATTAAAAAAACCCTTTTCTTAACCTAGAACATAGTTCACTAATCCAGTATAACTAACAACTAAATATTATACTATGAACTAATTAATACAGTACTACAAACTATAAATCAAATACTCAGGAGGTGTAAAAATGATTATTCCAGCCAAGAAATGCTTCTGTAATTGTAGTCACGTGATAAAATCAGTTAGCAGGAAAATTACAGAGACGAGAAAGTCAATTGAGTAAGTCGGATACTCTACTTTCGAGCTACCTCTGTTTTGAACCACTCTTTTATACAAAAAATCACTTTTTTGGTTTATTAATATCTTTATTAATATTAAAAATTTACATTTATATAATTCAAGTTCTTTTGAATTGATATTAGGATTTCTAGAATTTTAGAATTTTTCTAAATCGAGATTTAAAGTTTCAAAATATTGATTTTTGAATTTATATAGGAATTATATATAAATTTAAAACTTTTATATAAATTTTTATAACTTTTTAATGATAATAATTAGAAAAAAATTATATATCTTTTTGAAAATTTCAAATCTTAATTTATATAGAAAAACAAAAAAAAATCAAAAAATTAAATAGATATAGAAATATAGTATATAATGAGTTTAAAATAATATAAATAATTCCTATAATTTTGAGAATATCTTTTTAAATATTTATTTATAAGAAATTATTTATTTTTTCAGAATCTTTCAAAAGAAATATACTATAAATTTATTATAAAACTTTATAATTTATTTTTAGTTATTTTTTCTTAAAAGTTATTATAGATTTTATGAAACTTTAAATTTATATATGATTTCTATATAAATTGAAAATCGATATTTTGAAATCTTAGAAATCAATTTACAAAAATTATAAAAATCTTAAAATTTTAGAATAGAATTGAAATAGCTTGAATTATGTATACATAGATTTTTATTGAATTATATTTAATATTAATAAAGATATTAATAAATCAAAAAAGTGATTTTTGGTGTAAAAGGGTGGTCCAAAAGAGGGGTGGCCCGAAAGTGGGGTATTCGACTTAATCGCTATAGATGATCAAGTCCCTGCCATTAAGATCAGATTCAATATCGAAGCAATATTCTACGATTCAACATCCATCGCAGCAATTCTGTCATTTAGAAATCACGTGTCTTAAAGGACCTAGGCCACCTTCAATGCCGGTGTATCCAGAATCATGAATAATATACTTTCAAACGCCCTATGCTTGAGCTCTTGCATTATCTATTCCCAAGCATCCCAAACATCTCCGACTCGGTGACCGTGGTCCAAAAACAAATCTTCGGTGTCCGAATGAGTACATGGTTAATCTTCGGATTCCATGTTCAGTTCCAGCATGGATATAGACCCACATCTCAAAGTTTGAGAGCGTATGCATCAAAGCAAGCAAAGCCGGTCTATCTTTAAGACTCGATCCTGAGTTACCTTTTGTTGATGGCGGGGATCTCGTGGTTTAAGTAAATACCGGCAGAGAAAGAAGATGCGAATAGTAGTCATCATTTCATATGCACGTATGTAATCAACATATCCTTCGTAGACCATAGCATAAATGACAAGAAAAAAATAACATTCAGAACCGATCCTTCAATCAATACTGCCATCATGACTCAAACTTCCCAAATGAAAGTTGTAATAGTAGGCGGATCGATCGCAGGCCTAACCCTCGCACACTGTCTATCACGCTATGGAATCGACTACATCATTCTCGAGCGCCGCCATGATATAGCGCCACAAGTAGGTGCTTCAGTAAGTTTAATGCCTAATGGATCACGAATCTTAGATCAATTGGGAATGTTTGATGCGGTCTCGGAAAACATTGAACCCTGTGTTTTTATGCAGACATGGAATGAGAATGGGAGGTTGCTTTCTGAAACTGATGCGCCGATTTTGACGGGAAAGAGGTACGTGATTTTCAATTTGAGAAGATAGATGGCAGTGAGATTCGATTAAAGGACTGATTTGAAAATAGATTGGGTTATACGATTACGTTCTTGGAGAGGGAGACACTCTTGGAAATTCTGTATCGACACCTTCCCGATAAATCGAAAGTTCTGACTGGCAAATATGTCAGGTCAATCGAACAGAATAGTGAAGAAGCGGTGGTGGTTTGTGAAGACGGATCCAGGTATTCTGGAGATGTGATTGCAGGTGCAGATGGCATCCATAGCACTGTCAGATCAGAAATGAGACGACAGATCGCAAAGGAGGGGACAGCAAAAGATCTTGAAGCCTTGAAAAGAGATGAAATTGCTCTTTCGGCAGAATACAGTTGCTTGTTCGGTATTTCTAAACCAATTCCAGGCTTGGAAATCGGACATACGCATCGCAGTTCAGGAAAGGGCGCTTCGACTCTGTTGTTTGGTGGCATAGATGGAAAATTATATTGGTTTTTGTTCACCAAGAATGAAGAGAGGACATTTGGTGATGGCATTCCACGGTATAAAAAGGGGGATGAAACTAATCATGTAGCAAAATACATGCATCATCACGTATCGGGCAACATACTCCTTTCCGAAGTGTGGAAGAACCGTATCGTGGCAAATTTTGTCACCATTGAGGAAATGGAAAATGAACACTGGAATTGGAACCGCGTTGCGTGTCTTGGAGATTCTATACACAAGGTTTGTGTCCAATTCTTCAAAACGACGATTCATTTCTGTGCTAATAAATATCCGTTAGATGACACCAAATCTCGGCCAAGGAGCAAACTGTGCAATTGAAAGCGCAGCAGAAATGGCTAATAGTCTAGCAAAAGCGCTGAGGGACGACGGCAGTAAGCCCGCTATTGAAGATATCAATAGCGCTCTATCACTCTACTATCAGAAACGGAACATAAGAGCAAATTTGATCGTGAAAGCAGCAAACAAGTTCACTCGTGTAGAAGCACTTGCTACGACGGGTGATTGGGTTGCATCTATGTTTATAATTCCACGCTTGGGAGATATTCTAGCCGACCGTGGTGCAAAGGTCCAAGTTGGAGCTACGAAATTGGGATGTCTCCCGATGCCAAAAAGGGCATTGGAAGGGACAATGCCTTGGAGTATGAACTCTGGTATTGGAAAAGAGGAGAATCGAAAGCGAAGAGCCCAGCTCGCTTTGCCATTGATTCTCATCGCTCTTTGCTTCTGGTATAAAACTCCAGATGCAAAGGGATTTCCAGTGAAGAAGTCCTTCTCGGAAGTAAAATTTGACATGCTGAACTCTATTGCCAATGCCATACCCCTTGTAACCATCTGGACAATTGAAAGCTACCGTCGCGGAAACGCTCTCGCCGTAGCGAACATCTTGTAAGTCACCTCCGCTTCCTGGCTTATTTTTAACCTACTAAGAGAATCGAAACAGCCCTACCGTATTCCTCTTGCTGGCCCAGAAGTTTGGGATCGAACTCATCGCTCCAATCTATTTCTTTTTTCACTACATTCAATCACCGCAGGAGAATTTTGCGGCCCTTGACAACCGACTAACAAATATGGCTTTCGCAAAATTGATGCCTCTGGCAATACTTTTGATCTCCTTGGGTCCCTTCTATGCCATATGGAGCTCTATGGAGCTTGAGTCTGCGCAATGGATATACGACAATGCTTGGTATTGGTATCCAGTCTACCTGACCATTTTCCTGAGAATTCTGAAATTTGTCGTGAAGGATACTACTCGACTTGATAGAATATACAAACCCACGGCAGATTTGACGTATCTACGGATTTCATACAGCATCTCAATTCTTATTTGTGCAGCATTCTATCTGTACAGAAGCCTCAGTAATTCAACATCGATAGCTTTCCTCACTCAAGAACTGCAACCTCCAATTCATCCAGTACAGGCTATTCTGGGTGCTGTTTCGGAGCTTTGGGCGGCGAAGCAGACCTCTTTATACGGCGCCGCATTCTATTGGACCATTCTTCATTTCGCCGATTTAAAATTCGTCGGGAAGTTAAAGAAAAGCTGGCTTTTGATTTTGACAATATTCTTCTTTTCTACCTTTTTGGCAGGACCAGGTGCAGGCTTGATAGTAATGTGGGCATGGAGAGAGGAGATAATGGCGAAAAAACATGTAGTCCTCGAGTGAACTGGGTGTTAGGCGGCAAGCACGGCAACTAGAATAACAATCGTGCCATCGACAACTATAGCCTTGCTGGAATGATTCCATGTATAAAACTGATTGTAATGAGGCCATAAAAAGAGAATAGACGGATAGTTGAATGAGTGAATCGATGTGTGTGTTGTTTTAGTGAAGGATTAGATGACCCCTGATTATAGACGTGCAAATTTAACAATAATCAATTGCCAGGTCATCGAATCAGAGCTCAAAATACATCACTTTCCAATTCTGAGGCTCGGTGACATTCGATGTTGAGACCCAATAGCCGTGGAAGATTTCCCCAAAGTTAATCCCCACCAGCTTCGGAGATCTACAATGAACACCGAAGGCAACCGACCAGAGGTGCAGCGGTACGAGCTCCACATATATGTATCGATGAATCCCAAATAATGTGTCACAGAACCCCCAATTTCCAAACCAATCTGGAAAAATGTATCAAAGATTGGAGGAAATCAATTTTCGAAACCCTCTGGAGTTGGGATGGAATAGCATCGTTTTGATCTCAGGATTCGTTATTCTGACTGCCATCTTAATTGTATGGACCCAGAGGCCCGATGAGGAGTTACTGCTCGAGAAGTTGAAAGACCTTGATTTACCAATTGTAGGAGTGGGACCAAATGTTAATGTTAGTGAGTCGCTGGAAATCGGCACCCAAACTGTAAGCTCTGAGACTCCAGAATGAGATTCTGCAAATGCTAATCGTACAAAGTACCCAAATTCGCCATACGTTGTACCGGCCGATCGCGTTCCCATTGTCATTCTGCCAAACTCAGTCATCGACATCATAAAGTCTCTCCCAGAAGCAAAAATATCATTTGAAAAAGAAGTATACGCTCGACATCTGGCTCATCTCTTGCTCAAAAAAGAACAGAAAATCTTCTCCGAACCGATTCTTAGTTCAATCAAGCAGGATCTTACTCGAAATATTTCGAAAACCCTTGATACTTTATGGGAAGAGGTAGAATACGCATTCGAAAAAAACATCGGAACTTTGCCAGACAACGACGAAGGATGGAAGGACGTGTCAGCGTATGGAAAGGTACTGAATGTGGTTGCATTGCTATCTGGAAGAGTATTTGTTGGTGCGCCGTTGTGTCGCGAGGAAGAGTGGATCAAAGCGACAATCGCATACACGATAATCGTCGGGGTGACAGTTGGAATGCTCTGGAAACGCCCTTGGTGGCAACGAAGAATTCTGGCACCTCTATATTTCCGAACTTTAGTTGGTGTTCACAAGAAAGCCGAAAAACTGTTAAAACCACTACTCGAACGCGAAGCCGCACTCGATCCCTCAGAGTGGGAAAAGAAAGCCGGAGAACAAAACGATGGACAGCTAATCAGATGGTTACTATCACATACCCCGCAAAAGGGTGGAAAGATTGATGTGAAGCAACTAGCCCATGATCAATTGACAGTGAGCTTAGCTGCTATTCACACCACCAGCATTACAATATACCATCTCTTATATGACCTGGCAACCTATCCCGAACATGTAGCTCCGCTTCGAAAAGAACTGGAATCAGTCATTGCCGAACACAAAACAGCCGGGGGAAATGGAAAATTGAGTAAGGTGGAATTGACCAAATTGTGGAAAATGGATAGTTTTATCAAGGAGTCGCAGAGACTTAACCCACCAATTCTTGGTAAAGAATCCACCCTATGAGAGACAAGTTGAGACTAATTCATGATTGACCCGATGAACAGTCCAGATGCGTCGATATCTCACCTCTCCACTAGCTCTACCCTCGGGCCATATCCTTCCACCAGGAACGTTTTGTGGAGTCGATGCGCAAATGACAAATCGAACAGTCCCATATTATGAGGCTTCTCCAACAACGCACCAACAAGCACCGTTCGACAAATTTGATGGATTCCGCTTTAGCAAACTGCGATCTGTGCCAGGAAATGAAAATCGATATCAATTTGTTACGTCCAGTACAGAGAGTTTGAACTTTGGGCATGGTACGTTCTCTATTAATCTCAACACGTTCTTTGATTTATGCTTATCGATCAACGAAATAGGAACCCATGCGTGTCCTGGGCGCTTCTTTGCAAGCAACGAGATCAAGATTGCTTTTGCAGAGGTGTTGTTGAAATGGGACGTGAGACTCAAACCGGGAGAAGGAAGGCCAGCAAATTTGTATATTGACACAAACGTGATGCCGAACATGAAAGGAGAGGTGCAGATGAGAAGAAGAAAATTAATCTGAGAGTCAATGAATAAGAATTGATTGAATAATGGTATTTTGTGAAGCAGAGGTCATATGTGCGCTTGCTATGGAATCATGATCTCCTTAATTATATTGTAATGTGTTATGATGTGTGGTACAGTAAAAACCTCTCCGCAAGAATACCGGTTTTTCTAGTACAGTCACTGTGCACTTCTATTAGCCGAAACTCCACAAAACGTGTTTTTTCACACATTACATTCCCACAATCACATTTTATTATTTTAATTATACTTTCAATTTATAATATATAATATATTGGAGATACACAAAATAATTCTTATAAGTATTTTATTCTATATATATATAGCAAAATAATTAATAAGATAAAAAAAGATCTTAATTCCTATTAAATTATAAAGAATCTTGAACTTTCTTATAGAATTATATATTATATTTTTTTATAAGATTTAATATATAATAATAATATATATTTATTATATATTAATTGATTTAAATTATATATTAAACGAAATAAACAAATACTATTATAAGATATATAATTGTTTTTGAAAGCTATATATAAATAGGTTATTTAAAAGATTAGATTTAATTATAGTATTAGAATTATTAAGAGGATTTTGATCAAATATAGTATAATTAATTGAAGGTATAAGAAGAGATTAGAGCTTATATTAGTATATATTATTAAATAGTTTAAATAGTATTTAACTTATAGGGGGTTAATGATTGAAGAATGGGGTTTAATTATATAATCAAATAAATACTTTATAAAATAAGAAAAAAACAAAAGATTAGAATGATACTTTTATATTAATTTTCAGAAATAGAATTCAAAAATGATTGAAATATATAATATAAATAAGAATATAAAGATTATATATTAGAAAAGCTTTTGGGATATTAAAAAAATAATTTATATATAATAAATAGGGATTTTGAGAATACGAAATATAGGTATAATATTAAGTTTTATTTCAAGATTTTTAAAATTGAAATAGATCTTATTTTCGAAAAGCTTAATTTAGAATATAAATTTATATAGAATAATATTTCTATTTATTATGTTTATAAGATATAAGATTGATTTTAAGAAAAAAAGATTCTTTTATTAAAAAATTAATCTTCTTATTCTTTTAATTTTAATTCTATAAAATATATATAATGAGTTCTAAAGATAAAAATATATAAAATATTTTCTAATATTATTATTAATAAAAGTGAATTAGAATATATTTATTAAAGATTAGAGAATTATTTATAAATAATTTAGAATATATTAAATAAAGAATTATTTAATAATTTGGGAGCTAATATATCTTCTAGAATTAAGATTTATATTGTAACAAATAATTAATATACTAAATATTAATAAATTGAGAATCAATAATAAAATAATTTTTATATATATCAATAATATAAGAATACATTATTCATTTATTCAAATTTAATAATTTTATAATTTTTGATTGATTTAATATTTAATATTGAAAAAGGGTGGTGCAATATGTGACATCATAAAATAAGCGGGGGGGCGGATATAAGTGGCCTAGTACTGTAGTAGTTTAAATTTGACCAGTCTTCATCGAGTCGTATTTCCGTCAGTCATTATTTTCCGTTTCGACTAGAGAGCTGACATATCTATGATATGATACTTAAAAACTAATGATACTATTGGTATAGTAGAAATATACGTGATTCTGGGACTGGAAATCATAAGAATATCCTTATAAAGAGATTATTCTCATATACTTATAAAGAGGTTACCCTCGTAGAGATTATCCTTATAAAGAGGTTATCCTTATACAGAGCACCAGTGGAGCTTTTACTGTAATGTTACTCGTAAGATGTTAAGATGTTTCACGGAGAAATTCCGAAGTGGTCCGATCATAGTTCCGCGCCCTACGTTGCTTGATATTTGATAAAATTTTAGAGGTCGCATTTTGAATTTCAAATTTACCAACAAAAATCCCATAAGCAACAAATCTCACAATTTTTATTACTCGTATATTCTCAACAGAAGAATCACATAAGCACTGGTATTATTAAAGAATCAGTCTATTCACAGAGTATCACTACGAATCTATTCAGTAACCTTGAACTCCTCACAAGCCAATTCACATAAATCTTTAGCCGCAGCACCACCCAATATTTTCAAAACAGGAAGAGATACGCCCACCTCCTTCAAGAACCAACTTCGAATCTCGACTGCAATCAAAGAATCAATACCCAATTGCGTCAAAGGCGCATTCTCATCGATTGACCCCGGATCTGCCTGCAGGATAAGCTCCAACTGCTTCGCGAAGCATTTCTGCATAACACCTAATACCTCATCCTTTGTTTGCGCTTTTGCAAGTTGTTCCTTGGTCGGCACTTCAACCTCACCTTGAGAGTCGCTCTCCTCCTTGGTGAAATCATTCATAACGAATGAGAATCGAGGATTAGCATGCCATCGAGGTTTATCGCGTTCTTCACCCGTCAAGGGAGCGACCATACCAATAATGATTTCAGGACAACGATTGCTGGCTGGGTGTCCTGATTGCACTGCTTCGGATAATACCTGGAGGAATTCATGTTCGGGAATCGTGAGATAATTATAACTGCGCAAAGCAGATTCGGTGAATCGACCTGATCGTTCAACATATCCAACTCCGAGAATCATACCAATATGAATAACCGATGCGACACCCCCACGCTTGCGACGTTGCTCTGCGAGTGCGGCCATGTACTACAGATTGTTAGTCGAAGAACATCGTAGAAGATGAGAAAATCAATGGTCACATACCATATTTGCGGCGGCGTAATTTGATTGTCCAGGAATTCCGTTAACGGCGGCCAAACTGGAGAATAATACGAAGAAGTCGAGTTCCAATCCAAATACAGCATCAATATTGATAGTACTGAGTACTTTGGGACGAGTGACCCGCTCGAGTGTTTCAAAAGGCATATCTGAGAATGGTTTGTCATCCAAGACCATACATCCGTTCATCACTCCTGCGATTGGCGGCATGGTCTTGATGGCCTCTTCACGCAACTTGGCGACTGCTGCCTTGTCGGTAAAATCAATCGTGTAGACGAGAACAGTTGCACCCATCCTTTCCAATTCTTGTTGCCATGGAGTGCCAGATTTGACGGATCTGCCAAGCGTTAGTACCAGTTGTTAAAGCAGTATCTCCCAAGGAGTTTACAAGAGCTTCAAACTTACCGACTACCAATAATGATGTATCTAGCCCCAGCTCCAACCATCCATCTACAGATTGATTGTCCCAAATCTCCAGTCAAACCTGCTAATAAGTAACTCTTGTTCTTCTCAAAAATTTGGTTTTGAGAGAATGGCTTGACATCAACAGTCAGAGTTGTGTTTCTCGTCCAATCTACGACGGAAAGCGGAGAGAATGAAGAAATATGACCATGTTTTATGCTCCCGGCATCCAGCAAAAATCTTCCTTCAATATCCTTGGTTTTGGTTGAATCTGCATAAGAGACAACATCAGCGAGAATGCTTGATGGGTTGACAAAGGACGGAGACTTTGCTGGCATGACACCTAGGAAACCATCAATTTCGACTATGCTGGTGGATTTTGTCAGCGCCTCTTTGACATGCTTGCCGGTACCACTAATGTCGACGAATGATTGAATTGAGGCTGGTAATAAGTCTCGGATGGCACGTTTAGACAAAGTGGGATGAACCATGATACAATTTTGGATTGACGTGGCAGACGACTTGGTGCTTGCAGTGTTCGAAATGGACTTTTCACCCGCTTCAGCTATTGATTCCACGGCTTGACTTAATGCAAAACTTGGTTCGTGAAGCAAAACGCTTGATGCATCTTTGTTCAATACCTGCTTTGCTAAGAGGTAAGCCATAGCACTTTCGAGATACTCAGGGGTAACTTGACTGGCTGGAATGGTCCAGTTCTTGGGGACAGTGACGAGTGATTGGTTCGACGTGGAAAGGGCGAGGATTGATGATCCGGATTTTGTTTTTCCTAAGATAATGTAAAGGAAATCACCGTCAATGTTCACGGTATACAGAGACGAGAAGGAGACGGAAATTTCCAACTCGTTTTCGCTATCCAGACGATCCGTGACTGCCTCTTGGACTTCGAGGTTAAAGCGATTGCCGACAGATTGAGGTGTTATTGACACTTGTTTCGATGCCAAAGGAACCTCTTCCGTGACAACACGACGTGTAGCGTTTAACACGTCATTCAACTTCTTAGTTGGCTTCACTCTTGGAAGATATAATTGCCCGTTTTCATAAATCATCTCTGGCTCAATTGACCACAACAAGTTCTCTCTGCGTGTATCTATCAGGTCGGTTGCAACCTCAAGTCGAACTAGTGTCTCCCCAATTATCTTAGCAGCATTTCCCTTCAAGTCGACATCCAAAAATTGCAAGTTCAAATGAGGCATTTCAGAAATGATTGATCGACCTAATCCTATTGCCATGTTGGCGTATGGTTCATCTGCTTTACATCCTGTGGTTACCCAGAGAACGGATTCGGCGGAGTTGATCACAGTCTGGATGCCCTTCAAACGTTCTGCATTCATCGATTTGAAGATGGGTTCGTCAAGATCTGCGACACTCAAAATTGTGGTTCCAAACGGAATTGTGAGCTTTGATGCCTCCTCCCAGGTGGCAAGAACAGTTGTCTTACGTGTCTCCCAGGATGGCATATCTTTTCTTATCGTCTCAACAAGTGATTGGGTGGCAACACCTGATCCTCCGATAACAATAAGGTCCTTTCCTGTAGATTCCGGATGATATTGAAGCGGTTCTCGAAGCTTTTGGACATCGTCATCAAGGGCCTGACTAAGAATTACAGAGACCGTGTAACGCGATTTGTCTTTGAAATCATTGACAATAGCATCAACACCTGTAAATCCAGTCTTCTTCAGAATTGCATCCCATTCTGGTGGTGAGATAGTGGGACGATATGGTCGCCCATCTGCACCCCCGAGCCACCAACCAGGTAAACCAGCCATGAGGAATCCAGTTCGTTCGAGATGACCAGTACATTCTAGAAGACAAAGATATCCACCAGGCTTCAAGAGCGTCCGGACATTTCTCATCGTCTTCTCGAGAAACTCGGTCGCATGAAGAACGTTTGATGCAACGATGACATCGAAAGAGTGAGCTTCGTACCCCTGCTCCAAGGGATCTTTCTCGCAGTTGAGGAGGCTAAACGTCATGCGGTTGGCATAGTCACTGAAAACTTCTCTGGCTTTCATAAAAAAGCCAGTCGATATATCCGTGAAAGTGTAATGAGCAAATGCATCCCCGATTCCTGTAAAAATACCTTTAGTGGCCCCTCCAGTTCCTGCACCAATCTCCAAGACACGCATTTTTGGGTAACGATGCCCGATCTTCGTCATTGCCGCTGTAACGAATTTATTCGACGTGGCCATCCCAATGCCTTCAGTGTACAATCTATCAAGAAGTCCGTTTGGCAACATATGTTCCAACATCGTCGTTGTACCTCTTACAACATCAGGAAGATTGTTACCCACAGCTTGCATCAATTCGAGATCGACGCAATCTGGATATTTGGAAGCCATAGCAATCAATTCTTGGAGATCATCGTTGTTCCAGTCCGGCTTTATCGAAGGATGTGTTCCTTTGGAAACGAGATCTGTGACGTGATTGATCCAGTTGAACAAAGGACGATGATGGTCTGGGATACTCTCAGGCTTAATCTCAGACATCAGGTGACGCATGTAAGCATAAGAAAGTCTTTCGCCCAAATCGATCAAGTGAAGTGCCTTTGGATCATCATCCTCAATATCAGCTTCGGAAATGATACCACCCGAGATATCAGCTGCCCACAAAGTTTCAAGGTATAATTGTCGATCCTGAGAAGGTCTCGCTGCCGTAAATGATTGCATTTGCAACCCTTCGATTTGAATCTCGATTTCGTTGGTCACTGGATCAAAAACATCAACGTCGCCAACATAAGTGGCTGCATCATTAGCAGTGGTGGGTGTGACTTCGGTGATATACCCATCCATTCCGGCCAGGGATGTCTCCTTCTCGAATGCTGCTTCGCAAAGCGCAATGTTGAAACTCATCTTGGCAATTTTTCTTGGCAAATGTGGTGTCCAGAAGCGCTCGTCACCAGGACTTGCAAATGCCGCTAATGTTGCATGTAATGTCATGTCCAAAAACGCCGGATGTACCAATAATCCTGTATCAGATAAATATCTTCTTCCTTCGAGCGAAGAGATATGCATTCGGCGTTGACCTTTTTCAATGCCTCGGAAGATTCCAGTGAACTCAAGACCAACATTAGCCAAGCTGTCATAGAATCTGTCCACGTTAAGTGGGCCAAGCACTGGTCGTACGGGCGAGCGAATAGACATGGCGTCAGGAGATGGAGTTCCAAGCGTCATCTCAATGCGGCCCGAGAAAATCTTTGACATTGGTTTGCCACTTGGCGCAGCGGTACACCAGAAATCTGCGCAAATAATCTCATCACTACCACTGGTACTTGAAGATGTAGGTTTGAGTGCAAACATAACCTCGACTGCTGCATTGTTTTCCTCAAGATTGATCGCTCTTTCAATGTCCACTTGATGCAGCTCGACCAGACGGATTGGCTTGCCATTAGCAAGCACCTTTGAAGATTCTAACGCCATTGAGCAATAGAACGCAGCAGGGACCAAGGTTTGGCGTTGGAATTTGTGTCCGGCAACCCATGGCAGCTCATCAAGTTTAAGTATGTTTCGCCAGCGATACTCCATATCTGTGTCATCAGCGCATCTGACGCCCAAGAGTTCATGGGGCGGATCGACTCTGTTGCGATAATTGCGAGAAATTCGAGATTCGGACCAGAAAGTACGACTATGATCCCATGAATAGGTTGGTAAACCCTTCAAAAGCTTAGGGGTCGTAACCACACCGCCTGAAATAGCGTCGAGGTATTTTTTGAAACTTATTCTCTTTCCGTTGATGTGATTCAACAAGAACCCTAGTGCGTTGGCAAATGCGATCGAATCATTCTCTCCACGAGATAGTACCCCTGAATATGGCACAACCGCATTGACAGCATGCTTGAATATTTGTGCTACTGGTCCTTTAAGTGCGGGATGTGGACCAACTTCAATTGCAGCATCGAATGGACCAAATTCTTTAGCAGCTATGCTGACGGCCTCGAAAAACCTGACTGGCGAGACAAGATTGTCTAGCCAGTATCGTGTCTCAAGTTTGGAAGATTCATTGGACATATTCCTCAAATGCACACTTGAAATCCACGTGCAATCTGGTGAGCTAGGCTTAGGAGATATCTTGCAGGTAGCAAGTGATCTTGTGTATGGTTCTGAGCAGGGTAACATGTGATCGGAGTGGTACGCAGTATCAACTTTGAGAACCCGGGCAAAGATACCTCTGTCATCAAGTGTCGTCTTTGCTTTTTCGATAGTATCTTTGTTGCCACTGAGAGTGACTGTCTTTGGAGCATTGCTGGCTGCAATGGAAATTTTTCCCTGGTATTCTTCGCCAGTGCAGAACTCGAGAGCCTCGTCGAAGCTCAATCCTGCCGCCATCATCGAACCATCTTCTCCACCCTTACCTTTTGCAAGGTGTGCATGAAGACCACGATAGTAAGCGATACGAATGGCATCATCAGCCGTCAACCTGCCTGCAGCATAAGCAGCACCAATTTCTCCGGAAGAATGTCCAACAACAGCAGAGAATGTGACTCCAATCAGTTTCAACAAGTCTACAAGAGCAATCTGTAGAGCTGTGCAAAGAGGTTGCGAAAACTCGGCTTTTTCAATTGAGGATTTTCCGACTGGCGCGACAATTTCCTCTTTCAATGACCATTTTGGAGCATCTGGAAGTTCACGAAGTGATTTCTCAAGGGAATCAATTGTCTGAGAGAATGAGGGTATATTGGCGATCAGCTCTTTTCCCATTGCTGGCCATTGTGCACCTTGACCCGTGAAAACACCCAGAAGCTTCCTTGATGATTTATCATTTACATTTGTCGACCGAGTGCCAACAGCTAGATTAGAGTTCTCTTCTTTTGCTATTATGACTTTCTCAAGTTGATCTAACAAATCTTCCGTGTTCGATGCCACAAATGTAGCTTTGGTTGGGAAGTTACTTCGGCCCAGTAATGAATACCCCAAGTCTATTAGATTGACCTCTTCATTCTCTTCAATATAATCGCTAAAGTTCGTGATGTTCTGAGTTAAAGAGTCCTCGGAAATCGCAGATATCGTGAATGGAATGACTGCTGTCGAGTCCAAGCCTGGCGTAGTTGAACAAGGCTCGTAACTTTCAAGAATAGCATGTGCATTGGTACCGCCGAAACCAAACGAATTAACGCTGGCGCGGAGAGGTCCCTCAACTACCGGCCATGGTAATGGAGCCGTGGGAACATTCAGATTTCCGTAGAAAGGTTCAATTGCTGAGTTGAGACTTTGAAAATGCAGATTGGGTGGGATAGTTTTCTCTTTCATTGCCAATCCGGCTTTTATGATACCTGCTAGTCCTGCTGCACCTTCTAGATGGCCAATTACCGTTTTGATGGAGCCAACGTGAAGGGGCTCTGAATTCGGTGTGTCTGATCTTTGTGGGAAGAAAGCACTGCTGATTGCTTCTGCTTCAACTGGATCTCCTGCCGGTGTTCCGGTGCCGTGAGCTTCGAAGTATTGACATCTATCCGAAGGCTTCGTACAGTCGAGTCCAGCTCGAGCATATGTCTGACGAATCAAATCGGCTTGAGATGCAGCAAGTGGCATGGTAATACCTTTAGACCTACCATCTGAATTAACACCAGTCTAGTCATAACGAATTAGCCATTGAAACATTAAAACTGGATGGAATATTACACACCTCGCGAATTATATACTCAATGTCATCCCCGTCTTCCAAAGCGTTCTTCAGAGTCTTCAAAACAATTGCCGCGGTCCCCTCACCACGTGCATATCCATCAGCTTTGGAATCCCACATCTGAGACTTCCCCGTCGGTGAAAGCATATGAAGATTTGACTCTCCAATATACATTTCTGGACCAAAGATTAAATTTGCACCAGCGGCTATAGCAGTCCGACTTTGTCCACTTCTAAGTGTGGAAATGGCATTATGAACGGCAACCAAACTCGATGAGCACGCAGTGTCAATCGTCATCGAGGGTCCTTTCCAGTCGAAGAAATAAGAAATTCTATTCGACATGATACTGCGTGCTGTTCCTGTTGCTAGATATTGCGGGATATCTTCAATGTCTCGCATCAGAACATCAAAATAGTCGGCGCACATGAGTCCTACGTATACTGCAGTAGAAGTGCCTTGCATTTCTTCGATCGACAATCCCGCAGCTTCTAGAGCCTCATAGACGGTCTCCAAAAGTAATCGCTGTTGCGGATCAAGCGCCTCTGCTTCTCTCGGATTGATATTAAAAAATGGAGCATCAAATGTCGTTGGGTCTTCATTAAGAAAATATGATTTGGTTGCGTTGGTCGTTCCATGGTGTTCACCATTGGGATGATAGAAGGCCTTGATGTTGAAGCGTGAGGATGGAACCTTTTGAGTCAAATCGTATGGGTGATGGAGAAGGTTCCATAATTTAGAAGGTGAAGAGGCGCCACCTGGGAATCGACAGCCTGTGCCTATGACGGCTATAGGTTCGCTTGGTACGGCCATGATGTAATGATTAAACACAACGCTGAAGGGAAAAACAAGAGAAGTCTGGGTATTGTTAATGAGAACGGTTATCGTGGATGTAGTTGATACGAGTACAGTTGAAGCGATTGCAGATGAAAGATGTAAGATTTTGAAAATGTGGTATTTCAGTGGTTGATATGATATGCTTCATTGATGAAGCCTTACAATGCGTAACCCGCGGGCTCGGGGGGTACAGTGTCATGTGTTCTGACTTGATTACTCCACTCACGGGATCCGAGTATGTCATTGTGCGGCTCCCTTGAAATCACTACCGACTGATAGCTCAAGCAAATTCAAAAGCAGCTGCTGCACCATTCATTATTGTTTAATGAGCGAGTCAAAGTATATCGACAATAGATCGACAGCGCTGAGGCTTTCTTGCTTCGTCCACTACAGATAAGATTTTCAAATTTACTCATTTTACATTTTCAATTATGCGGGCAGTCATTCAAACCGGACCTGGAATACTCCAGCTGGCTGAGGAGGTACCAAAGCCATCAATAGAGCCTGGATCGAGAAAGGTTTTGGTGAAGATACACGCTGTAGCTCTCAATCATAGTGACTGGAAAATGATTGATTTCTCGGCCAAACCTGGAGCTATCAGCGGATACGACATGGCTGGTGTTCTGGAGGCTATCGACGAATCCATGAACTCAGATCTAGTTGTTGGAGATCGAGTACTAGGCGTCACGAGTATTCACGGAGGCGCATTTGCGGAATACGTCGTTACAGACGGAGACCTGCTAGTCAAAATCCCCGATAATATGGACTTTCAACAAGCAGCAAGTTATGGTGTGGGAATAGTCACAACTGGTTTGGCATTATACGGTAACGAGTGTTTGGCATTGAATTGGCCAAATCCAGAAGGGACGGACAGTACCGCGCCTCAGAAAACTCGTGTCGGACCCCGAGGGTGGAGCGGTGGAGACGCGCTCACGGATAACGATAATGAAATACCGCGCATTCCGGTACTTGTCTACGGGGCGTCAACTTCCACCGGAACTTTGGCTATCCAATTATTGCAGCTGTCTGGGTACGAACCGATCGCCGTATGTTCGCCTCATAATTTTGGGCTTGTACAATCTCGAGGAGCATCGAAATGCTTTGATTATCATGTTCAGGGGTGCGGGGCTATGATTAAACAGCATACCCATAACAGATTGGAATACGCACTCGATTGTATCACTACAGCATCTTCAATGCGTCTTTGCTACGAAGCGATTGGTACTACTGGTGGAAAGTACGTATCGTTAGATCCATCCAACGCAAGGGTACAGCGGTCACGTGCGGATGTCAAGCCATTTTTTTGCTACGCGCTCACAATATTTGGTATACCCATTGAACTCAGTGGAGAGTTTGCTCGAGACGCAAAACCCGAAGATAGGAAGCTGGCGGAAAGATTTGTAAAAATCGCTGAAAGGTTGATTGAGAAGGGAAGATTGAAGGCCCATCCTACAATGCTAAAATCGGGGGGCTTGGGTGGGATTCCAGGTTCAATAGATCTCTTGAGGAAAGGAAAAGTATCTGGGAGCAAATTGGTGTTTAATGTTGTTGATAATTAATTTCCGTTGAATTGAGGCTCAATCTTCCATAGAGTCAAAAGAATCTTAGCCCAGAGCCGCGCGTGCTATTCAGAGATCTCGCGTTGCTATTTTCCCGTTTGATTTTTGAAATCTAAAGATACCGATACATTTTAGGTAGGAATAGATCTTACTCGATCTCGCTGGTTATGCCAGAATTAATTCAGACATGATCACAAGATTTTTACTCAATGGCATCGTCGCTTCATCATAAAACTCACGGAACCAATCGAATTGAATCACTGTTGTTCTATTATGCTTCTCAAAATACTATCTACAACGCTCTTTAATTTGAATCTGTGCTGTTGGGTCTACGACGAGACTCATATCACTTTTTAAATTATTTGGCCTTCCAGTTCCAGGAAGCAGCTGAAAATCATAATTCCGCAGAAGTTCGATCAACATCGTCTTAATCTCATTGCTGGCAAAAAATCGACCTGGGCAACTGTGGGTTCCGTGACCAAAAGCCAGACTATCTTTTCCTGTAGTCACTAGTTGGAATTTGTTTTCGGCGCCTTGTTGCTGTCTGAGTTTCTCGAATCGGAAACCGTCGAATTCGTCGGGATTTTCGAAGATTCTGGGATCGAAACCGATGGAGCCGGCTGCCATACCAACGAACGATCCCTTTGGTAAGATGGTGCCATCGGATAGCTGCACTGTGTCCATCATCTTTCTGTTCATCGTGACTAACATTTAGAGTGTTAGTGATTCATTCATGAGAGAAAATCAAAATTAAGCTTCATACCTAGATTTAATGGGTTCATTCTCTGACTTTCTTTCAAGAACGAATCCATTTTCCGCAGTTTTGTGAGTATCTGTTTGGTGATTTGAGTATTTTCGGGAAGATTAGCGGCTATCTCTTCACGGAGAGCTTCGATATATTTTGGTCGTGCTGCAAGGTCAAGAATCGCATTACCTAACTGTTCGAGAGTTTAGTTCAGACTCATAACATCCGTTTATATTTGCGAAAGAATTTACTCACCAATCCCGATGTAGTATGCAAAGCTGCAAATGCTGTTTCAAAATGGTAAGTCTTGCGTCATGAATTGCGAGAGAGTCATAGAGGTTACCCACCTATTAACTTGAGTGCGGTTAGTACGTCTTCTTCGCAGTTTTGTAACAATCAACTCACGAGTTGGCATCGACCTTGAAAGGTCGCATCTTTAGCATTGTTTCCCGAGTTATCTATCATCCATTGAATCATATCTTGTGGCTTCTCAAAATCATCCCGCTCCATCTCCTTGAATCTTTGGTTAAAGATTGGCCGCAAAAACTCTGCCGCATCGGTATAGTGTTGGCGAACTTTCTTCAATTCTGGCGAATAAAGAGCATATATTGGCCTAAAAAGTGGATGTCGTGCCCAGACCGCTCGTCCTCCCAAAAAGGTGTCACGAGTATATGTAGTCGATATTTGAATCCATTTTTCGTTCCTGCATAGCGGCTCGCCTACCATCACTCGTCCACTGACTTTTGCCACCATTCTTAATATGATGGGATATAATGTCACTGACATCCAGTCCTTGGGTTTCGGTAACTCAGTTGCAAAAGCTAGCTCTGTCTCCGCTTGCATGTTCTCCAATGCCCGCGCAAGGCTCTGTGTGAGATCAACCTTGACACTTGTTGTAACGGCATCTCCTTCGGTATTGTTTGCAAACGCCGTATAATGCCCAAAATATCTATCTCTAAACTCCTCGAGAAATGAGATCTTATCTGGGGGCAAAGATTTGATTTCATCGATGTATTTGATGGGTAAGATAATTGTGGGATGAGCCGCTGTTGGTAACAAGAATGGAGTATCTGGGCACTATTTACGTCAGCCTTTAGTGTCTTCGCTAATCTTCACGAACAGTTCATACCTGATTGTACCCGCTGATCAGAGCAGAGCGAAGATCACTAACATTCCCTATAACTGGAGCATCGAAATTCAGTTTCTTTGAATTGAAGAATTGGAATAGGTAGTACAATGCGAAGACAATGCACCCTGCAATCACAGTATTGAAGTTTGCCAGTGATATTGCACCCAGCTCTGTAAAGTGTATCATCTTGGACGAAGACTCTGGTATCAAGTTCGGGTGATAGAAAAATCGTAGAAAAAAAAGATCTATCAGTCAAGTCAAATGCACTCCAGCTGCAAGTGTATACATCTGGAATTCCAAGCAAGCTCAAGCCATAGAAAAAGAGAGAGCTAGACTATGCCGCTTTTCGCGGTTTGCGGTCGCACATACCGAAGTTCTGGCGGAAATGTGTCGGCACCCGGATGTGGTTCGTGTTTAGCTCCATAATTTCATCGTCCAATGATATGTACCCTATTTCTTTTCGGAGGCCGTCGACGAACATATCCAAAACACTAAATTGAATCGTTCAACCTTTACCACATCATCCATGAGCAGACATCCAACACCGACTTGTGGTGAGTTGTGTCAGATATTTCAAGATGTTTGCAGTTGAATTGCTCGAGCGACTCGGTTTGCCAACTGTCTATCTTTGGATTGGATTCGGTCTGGTAGTCGTAAGACACCCAGATATATCCTCTTCAAACTTTATGCTGACAACTTCGTATTTAGCTTCTAGCATATCCTACATATTTTGCAATCTACAACCTATACTTTCACCCATTGAGAAAGTTTCCCGGGCCGCTCATAGCCAGATCCTCCTACATCTGGTATGCCAAGAATTGGTAAGTAATGCAATACCTGCAGGCCTGAAAATCACAATGAAATTATCTAACGAGCTAAACGCAGGATTGGAGGAAGATGGCCTCATGCATTATCTGATCTTCATGAAAAGTATGGTAAGTTCACGTTCTCACACTCACAACTTAAGATCCATAACTCACAAGTCTCAGGCCAAGTTGTTCGAATAGCTCCTGATGAGCTTGCATTCAGCTCAGCTCAGTCTTGGAGGGATATTTATGGACACTCGGTGAAGGGCAAGAAGTACTTTAGGAAAACCGACTGGTATGCAGGTGTTGGTGATCTACCCAGCTCCATTTCGACAGAGCCAGATCCACAAAAGCACAGTGCCATGCGCAGAGTATTAGCGAACGCTTTTAGTAATTCTGTTCTGAAGGGCCAGGCAGATGTCATCAATAAATACTTGGACATGTTTGTCAGTCAGATCAAGAAACATGATAATCCAAATGGTATCCCAGTCGAAGAATGGTTTAACTGGCTGACTTTTGATATTGTAAGCACCTCTGTTAGTGGAAACGGAGTATCGATGTTAATGAAAACTGTTCAATAGATCGGAGATTTGACTTTTCATGAATCCTTTGGTGCAGTCGAAAACGGTAAGTTATTAAAAATTTCTCTCCTCCGTAAATTCATTATGCTAATAGCTACCTAGCCCGAACCCATTTTTGGATTCATTTGATCATCAACGGCAACTTTATTCGAAGCCTCTATCCAATTTTCCAGAAGATCCCTATCAGCAGACTCTTCATGAAATGGATCATTCCAAACATGGATGAGATTCGTCAGCAACGACGCGAACATATTGCTCATACAAAATCCAAAGCCATGAAACGGGTCAATCGTGATGATATTGTCCAAAAAGATTTTTTCAGCTTTTTACTTGGTAAAGAGGGGGCGGATACTTCGGAGATGTTCTTGACTGCGCAGGCTCACACTCTCATCATTGCTGGATCGGAGACTACGGCTGTCACATTGACGGCTATGGTATCATTTTTACTTCGTTATCCGGATAAAATGAAAATTCTCGTTGATGAAGTGCGTGGCGCATTTACTGACAGGTCTCAAATCAATGTCGAAGGAACTCTGCCTCTAGAATACCTCTTCGCTGTCATTGAGGAAACGCTACGCATTCTCCCTCCAGTACCATTCGGCCTTCCTCGCACGTGCCCTGGAGCGGTCATCGACGGTCATGTGGTTCCAGAAGAGACCATCGTTTCGGTCTCTCCATATACAGCATGTCACGATGTAAGATATTGGCATGATCCCGAGGGTTGGCATCCCGAGCGATGGCTCCCTTCTGGCCACCCTCTTCATAACCCTGTATTTGATCAAGATAATAAAGAGGCAAGCAAACCGTTTAGTACTGGACCTCGAGTTTGCTTGGGTGTTAATTTAGCATATATCGAGCTGAGGATGACACTTGCAAGGTTATTGTTTGAATTCGATATGGAGTTGATGAGTAAACCGGTTGATTGGAATACAGAGTTGGATTTTTTCCAGTTCTGGAAGAAGGTTGAGACGAGAGTGAAGTTTACGAGTCTTCATTGATATATATGCTTGGAGTCGAATGTGAAAAAAGTTATTCATTGAGTTTGAAAATTGAAGTTATCACCGATGAATCAGAACTTCTGCTTAAATTATGATGGACTCTTGTGAATTGTTGCGTTTTGACCAATCTTAGATAAAGTGTGCCTAAACTATGCAGATATACCCTTTCGTAATGAGCGGCTCTTTGATTGAAACCAAAAGTTATCTCACAGTTGATTCATATAAGGCATTATCATCAACTTATCCGTATATGTATGTGTTTGCATATCTTTGACTTGATTAAGCATAATTGATATAAAAATCTCATATACCACAAAACGTAGAGTCGCCTGTGGCGTGGCTACTCGACTTGTAAGCTCACTATTCCCAGGTCTAAATATTGTAGGCTACTCTATCTAATCTCAAGATTCATCTGGGTAAAATCCAGGTACGAATTTGACCATCAGCAGTTATTCTGAGACATTTGTTTCATCGCTTTGCACTGAAAATGCAGAAGTACATCCTCGTATTACAAAACAAATAAGCAATTGACAGTACTCCTTTGAACGCTATACGCCCGCTTCCTGAACAGAACCTACAAAAATACATTCTTCCGTCTCCAGTTCTGATTATACATATTGTGATCAAAATTCCAGAATTTTGACTTCTTTCTGTCCTATCCTCTGCTGAAGAAGTACCCAATCACGCTTGAAGTCAAGCTTGGCAATCAAAGCCTTGTACTGCCAATATGGATATGGATATTTATAGACATGTCCTATTTTCGACTGAATTAAATTAGTATCAGCCACTAATATACACACGTCAGGGTCCGGATGTTCTCACCCTATAATAACTCTTGCAATTTGGATTCGCAGGAGGTAACTTTGCTTGTCCTGGTCTCAATGATAATGTCCAAGATCTTACGCGTTCTTCCTTTGGCATAATAGCATAACGGAAAGTACCAACGTTCTTCTGAAAGAGATATTTTGTTGCGATAGAATTGTGATGAGCTTGAAGTTCAAAAAGCTCCATGACGCTGGTTTCGAAAGATGAGCTATTCGGGCCAAGAAAGTTGAAGTAATTCGGAAAATCATCAACGGCAACGCCTCGTGAAAGTTAGCAATTGGACGAGAAAGTATTGGTAAATATTACTTACCATATAAGGAAAACAGTTCTGGTTGGTATTTGTCGCATAGTAGTTGTCCTGATCGACCTTTTGTTGGGACAGGAAGTCCAAAATCGACGGTATTGTAACCTAGTTGTTCACCAATTAATTTCATCACTTCCGATTGCGATATTCCTGTATCTTACCAGTACCCCAAATCAATACATCAGCTTCCCGTTCTATCTCTTCGCCTGTTTCAGTATTCTTTGATTTAATGCCATTCTCGGTGAGTTCAGTCACACTGTCAGTCACGAGCTCCACGTTTTCATTGTTAAATGTCGGATAATAGTCACTGAGCATCAATGGACGTTTGCATCCAAAAACATCTTTCGACTCAAGTTTCTGTCTTAAAGTGACATCCTTTATCTGTTTGTATAGATGGTTCCTAGTCATCGAGAGGACTATTCTTTGGAGCCATGAGTCTACATTAAATAGACGCGGGCGTAATATTTCATACTGTTGGTGAATTAAATACAGGACACCAAAATATGCAAGTTTGATCAAGCAGCATACCTGTTTCATCCAAAACCACCGATTAAATCGCATGAGGAGTGGAATATGAGCAAACATCCATTTTGTTAACGGCCCGACAACAACATCATTACGAGGCAAAACATGACCCGGGCTTCTTTGATAAACTATCAGAGACTTGACCTCTGAATGGATGTTTGGAATGAATTGACAGGCAGATGGTCCTGTTCCAATGACAGCAACTGTCTTTCCTTTGAGATTGGCATGTTTTGGCCAGTCCACACTATGCCACTCCTCCCCTTTGAATGCATCGATATTTTTCACGGATGCCTTCTTGGGTACTGTGAATGCTCCCAAAGCGCCGATGAGCTGGTTTCTGAGTTAGAAGATGTCTTAAACAATATAAGGGACACACTACATACTACATGGCAGCTCCAGACTTTTGTATCTCCCGTGATAATATCGGTAGTCTCGACAAGCCATAACAAACGCGAATCGTCCCATCTGGCCTCTACAATCTCTGTGTTGAAAGTCGTGGATTTATCTAATTCATATCGTAATGCTACGTCCTCGAAATATTTTTGGATCTCGGGCTGGGGTGCGAAAGTTCTACTCCAGTCTATTCAGAGTTAGTTCTGTACACTTTCAAGATAGGCCGACAAGATGGATTTATTCCATCGTCTTCTTTCGTTGTAGGTAGAATCCACATGAATATGAGAATACTGACAAGGATTAAGAGCAAAACTTATCTGATATTCGTGACTTGGAATATCACAAGCAGCTCCTGGATAAGTATTCTTCCACCAGACCCCCCCAAATGCACTTTGTCTTTCTAATATCTGGAATTCTTCAAGAGGAAGTGTTTTTTCACGTATGAATGTACAACCTTGAATGATCCCTGCAGCACCTGCTCCGAGAATGATTGCGAATCGATGTTCATCTACCCGTAAATTCTCAGTTGAGCTTTTTTCTCGTGACATTTTGAATAAAATGAACAATAGTACAAAACCCTACTTCCATCAGGGTACATATACATATCGAGTTTCCTATAGTATCAGACTCTGATTTTAACGAGGCCCGTGTACTTCGGATGCCGAAAATTCACCCCGCAGGAACGATTTCGAGGCCGAAAGCTGGGATCATTACGTGCTCAAACCCTTGTCATTTTAATTCTTAAACTAGGTACCTGGCTTCAATTTCTAGACTGTACAATGAATACCCGGGGAGGGAATTATCTCTGATGAATAACCTGCGGAGCGGATTATTTTTAAATTGCCCATAAGTGAGGATATATCTTGGCAGTCTAATAAGTCTGATAATGACACCTCTAAGTTCCCGTCTTGACCTTGGCTCTAGCTGGAGGAAGCACTAATCAGTGTTTTGAGGCAATCTTCCACTGTAAGAGGGATTATTTCTGGGAACAATTCGTTAAGATACACTGAATCCGGTACTTTGGGGTCGAAACTGAATGTTCCTGATTCAAACCAATCTCCATGTTCTTTTAGTGAAGCCGAGTATGCAGACCTATGAGCTGGTGCTTCGATGACCTGCCCACTAAGAATTGTAGAGGGTTCATCAGTGATTGTCCATTTTTCACCTGCACATTTGTATCAAGTTAGCAATGCTTCGGTTCAGCATTAGATGTTGGAAAAGTCCAAAGCCAAGTAAAATCATAATCGTACCAGTGATTTTCCCTGCTATATCTATCACATCATGCCAGGATTGGCGGTCCCCAACGATAAAACTTCTTTTCTCCCACTTTGGCAAGGAAAGACTAGCAACGACAAAGCGGCCCACGTCTCTTGTATGGGTCATGACCAAAGGCACGGTGCCTGATCCAATACCTACCGAGGTTCTGCTGGGAATGTCGAAGAATCTTATCCCAGCAGCAAGATGACTTGGCACAGCGGGCATGCATAAATAATCTAGAAAGAGACCATTGACAAATGAAGTATACTCGAGGTGTGTTTTGGCAAGCTCCGTCACGGCGATCGCTTTGAGGGCAGTGCTTGGGCGAGCTAGCGCATGTCTAATGAAATGGTTAACTTCGACGATCTGTGGAATTCAAGAAGCATGACGGAGGTTCGAAAATGGAACTCAATGGGTTGGATCGGATGCTCACTCACTTTTCTTCATAAGCACTTCCATACTCACTAGGTACGAATCGCTTCACAGACTTTGAGCCAGCAGCACCTCGTACCAGGTTGAGTTGCGAGTCGCTGTGTTCTTTCGAAACTATACACAAAGCCGAAATGACCGTGTGAATATGATTTTCATCGAGTACCTTTGAGATTTGTGAAATATCGGAGTAATCAATCGGCACAACCTTTACGTTATTCTTTGCTTCATACTCTGGTGATTCCTATGCTCAAACGTTACTTTGTTGTTCATTCTTTCGATACTCCGGAGGGAAGCTAGGAATAATTACTGTTCTACTTAAAACAATGAAATCGTGTTCTGTTTGCGCTTTGAGAGCGTCAACAATAGCGTAACCAACGCCACCAGTTCCACCTGCGACTGCCACTCTAACCATGATGTGAAATCTGAAGCTTTATATGGATGTGATATATAATTTAGTGATAAGTCGTAATTAAACAGGTATCTCACTTAGTAAGTTAAGCAATATTCAGAATGATCGGTTTAAGTGATGAGAATCCAAAAGATAATCTCAAGCTACAGAAACAATATATACTTCAATTTATCCTTCCGTCTACGTATTTGATATTCATACCTAACTCCTTTCTTTTCTCTCTGTGCCACCTTGCTCATTCATAATTACCCTCCGGGAATGTCTGTAAATTATGTCTTCTGTCTCTTCGGTAGCCGAGCTGATCCTCCGACCCTCCGAAAGTCCATAAATCTTTATAGATAACGTAGTTTATCAGCATATGAGCTATATCAGCATATGGGCCACTTCATTTTATATACAAAAGTCGTCTGTGCGTAACCGTGCACTTTCTTTATCAGCCGATAGAATTCTTTAAAAATCTATTATATAAAACCTGATTTTTCAAATATTTCAAAAATCTAACATTATTTATCGTTATAAACGTTGTTTATGAGTTTTTTTTGTATAGAGAAATAATATGTGGTTTATGCATTATACATATCGTTTATAAATTAACCCCAACCTTATCAAACCTACATATACAAAGCTCAAAAGCATTATAACAAAATCAAAATAACTCAGGAATTATAGTATAATCGATTTCTTAAAAACTTATTTATTTAATAAAAATAAATATTGAATTTTATATATTGATTTATTTGTAATATTAGTATACATAAAGACTTATATATTTATATAAATATTTAAGCAATTAATATAAAATCCTGAATAAATTAGAAAAGTATATTAAAGAATATCCGTTTTAATATAATTATATTAATATATAGTTATTTAATAATAATTCAGTTTTTCAGCCTATTATTCTTATTTTAAATAAATATCAATATTATAGTTGCTAATTCAAAACCTACCCCTTATGCGAGGGCCCTTTCATGGCATAAAAGGAGGGCACGGCCTTTATTTGTATAGGAAAATAACCCCAAGACCCCACACAACCCCTATATAATTTTATAAAAAGGATTTTATAAAAAAGGATTTCTTAGATTTCTTATTCCCATTTCCTATCCCAATCTTATAATTATAAAATATCTCATTGCCATTTTATATAGTTTATAATTTTATATACAACTTTAATCATTAGATTTTAATTTATATATAATACTAAATATATATTATTTCAAAAATCTAAAATATTATATAACACTTTTAAACCAAATCCTACCACCTATCAAATAATTTTTTGAAAACTTAATTGAATTATATTTAATTATTAAATTTAAAAACAAAATATTAATTATAAAAAAACAAATCTATATATAGAATTATATAATTAAAGTATTTCAAAATTTTTTATAATTTTCAATATTTATTATATAATTTATTATTTTTAATTATTTATTTTTTATAAATATAGAATTATATAATAATTTATAATTAGAAAATAAATAAATATAAAATAATTTTATTATAATAAATATATTTACTTCAAATATATTTTATTATATTAAGATATATTAATTACTTTATAATTATTATAAATTCTAGATTTTATAATAAAAATAGTAATATAATTCCTTTATTTAATTAAAAAAGGATTTTATTAATTAAATTAAATAAAATATATTAAATATTAAAAGAATTTTTCAAAATAACTAATATTATTCAGAATATTAAAGAATTTTGTTCTAAAAGGATATTATAATTATATAATATTATTAAATTCCCTTTTATTTAATTTATTTAAAAAAATAAGAAGATTTAGACTTTATATAAGTTTTTATCAAAAAAGAAATTAAATAAAATTATCTTAAATAAATAATTCTTAATTTATTTATATTCTCTATATTATCAAAGTTATAATACAAAATATCTATCAATTATACTTTGATATGTTTCTAATTATAAGATTAATTTAGTAATAAACTAATATTCTTAATAAATTTTATTCTGAAATAAATAGTAAGGCAAATAGATTTCAATATTATAAGAATACTTTTATATTAATTAAATATTTTCTAATTGGGAAATAACTTTTGGTATATTATTATTAAATAATATATTTAAAGGATAGTTTTTTTATTATTACAAAATTAAATTAATTATTATTATATAATATTATTAAATTAATTTTAATTTAAATTTATATAATAAATATTATTATAAAAATCTTGAATATAAAAAATCCTAAAGAATCTGAATTAGTTTTGAAATATATTATTTAATGATTATATTTAATTTAATTTATTATTTAATTAGAAATGTATTATTTAAATTAATTAATTTTGAGTTTTGTATTATAAAAAGTTGTATAATTTATAAATAAGAATTATAGAAAAAGCTAGAAAATTTTAATAATTATTTATTAGCTTTTATATAAATAATATAATTAATCCTCTTTGATTTGTTTATTTTTAAAAATAAAAGAATAAAAATCAAATTTCTATTCTTTTTATTATACTTTATAAAAAGTTCTTTTAATAATTAATTAAGATTTTTTTTAATTATATTTTTAATAATATTTATATTTATTTAAGGTGAATAAAGCTTTTATTATTAAATATCAAATTTAATAATTTTTGAATTAATAGATTATAAGGTATTATAGAATAAAAATATTTATAAAATAGATTTCAAATATAATGTTTTTGGAATTTCAATAAATTTATTTTTTATTATATAATAAATTATTATTTGGTATACAAAATTTAATTTCAATAGTTTTGTAACAAATAAAAAATAATTTGAATTCTAAGGATTTTGAGGATTTTTGATTTTTCTATTTATATAATTTAGAATTTTTAGAAAAAATAGATCTAAAACTTTTTCGATATATTAAAACAAACTCTAAATTATATATTACTTTTTTTAAAATTAATCAAAAAGGAGAATTAATTTTGTATTTGAAAGCTATAAAAATATATAAAATACAAATTTAGGAATTCTTAAAGTAATTTTTGATTTTTTGTTATATTACTTTTAATTTATTTTTATAAAAATCCGAATTGCTTTTTATTATATAATGGAATATGGAATAATAGTAATATATCTATTTAGAAAAAGCTAATAATAATTTATATTCAATATTATAAAAAGCAACAGCAATCGAATATATATAAAAATAATATTCAATTTCTTTTAAAAGTTATTAGAAATTTATTATTTATTTATATTATATATATTATTTCTTTTCAATAAATCTTTTTGTAATAAAAAAATCCGATAGTTTTAATATCTTTATATTTCTAATTCAATCCTTAAGAAATAATATAAATAAATAGAATTATTTTGATTTATTTATAAAAAGTGTGTAAATAAGTTTAGATTTTTTTATTATATATTTTTAATTAATAATAATTTGCTATTTTTATTATAAAAAAGAAATTTCTAATAAAAGAGTAAATTAATTTTAATTTAGATTATATTTCTGAGGAATTTATTAAAGATAAATCTAATTTAAGAATCTTAATTGAATTAAATAATTATAGTTTTCAAATTTTTAATATAATATATATTAAAATAATTAATTTTATTATAAATATTTTATTATATTATGGTTTTTAGGTTTTGGTGAGTTGGTATTCTTTTTTTCAATTTGATTATATTTTATAAGGGAAATAAGTTTTTAATTTATTAAATACTTTAATATTACAAACTATAAAACAAAATTGATTTTATTAAAAATAAGAATATTTGGAAAAGGATTTATTTTAAGTAACCTAAAGATTATTTTTTTTTATTACTTTTCAATTTTATTAATTTAATTAATATTATAAAATATTAATTATTTTTGGAATTATTTTTTATAAACAAATTATTTTGATTTTGGGAATTAATTCTAATAAGATTTTAATTTCTATATTTAATATTAGTTTTATAGATATTAGCATTATTATTATAATTATTTCTATAATTGCTTTATAGATTAATATAATCAAATGTTTTAATATAATTAATATTCTTTTAATAATATAATTAATGGAATATAGAGAAACTTTTTTATTAATAATTATATTAACTAAAGCTATTTACAATAATAGCTTTTTGGAATATATTCAAAAATTAATCTTTTAATAAAAATTGGATTAAATTATTATAAATAAGTATTACCTTATTATTATTATTAATAAATATTGCTTTTGTATAATTCAAATTAAATAATTTATTTAATAAATTTGAATTCAATTTATTTGATTATTTATTATTTTGTTTTTAATAATAAAAGAATTATTTATTAAATAAAATAAATTGATTTTATTTAAAATTATTCAAAAATTTATTAATTAATTGAATTTTTAATATTTTATTAATTATAAAAATAGAATTCCTTTTTTAATAAAAAAAAACAAAAAAATTAATTAAGGTATATTGATCTAATTTTAATATCTTTGATTAAAGTTGTAATAAGATTATTATTTATTATTATATTTGTAATATAATTAATATAATAATAGAATTAATAAATTGTTTTTTATATATATTAAAATCTAATATAATTTAAAAAAAAAAGGAAATTATTTAATAATAGTTTTTGAATTTTTATTAATTTATAATTATTATTATATCTACTTTCAGAATTAAATTTGATTATTTTTATATTTAATAGATTATTTTATTTTAAGGTTTTGGAATAAATAATTGCTTTTTTTTAAGAATTCGGTTAAACAGAATATAATAACAAAAAGGCTTTATTTATTATTTTATTAGATTTGATATGACATTTTTAATATAATATCTTTTTTCTATTTAATTAAATTATTATATAATTCTATGTTATTTAATAATATTATTTATATAATATTCTTAATCAATTTCTCAATTAATTTTTAAATTAATATTAATATATATTAAATAATAAGATTTATTAAATATATAGAAAATCTTATAAAGAATTTTGTTTTTCTTATTTAATATATACTTTAAATCTATTTATTATAAAAATCGAATTTATTAACTTTTGAAAAAAT